CAGAACAAGCACTTTCCAGAGGGCACGTAGCACGCGTACGGAGTCGCTTTTTCTAGGTGATTTGACGCGGGGAGTCGCAGCAGCGCGCCGAGGTTATAGAGCCATTTCTATCGGAATTTAACTTATAGACTTTCCACCCCCGTTCGTCTTGTTACGGATTTATTCTATATAAAACAGTGGATTTGAACGGTGATAGATGAATATTGCCGCTCGTTTTAAAATATTCAATATTTCACGGCCAATCTAACCGACGCCTGCTCCGAGAAAAGGGGAAATAACTGAACTGCAGGGAGGAATTTTAAAACATGACAGGAGCATTTTTTCTATATCAAAGTTCCAGTTGTCCTTACGTGTAAAATAAATATTTTACATTTACCAATTTAACGCTCAATAAATTCCTTGAGAAATTGTAAGTAATAAATAAATTGAGTAAATTTACTAGTTTCAATAAATTGTCAAAAGGTATTGATGAAGAAACGGTTTTAATTTGTTTTACAATTTTGATGAATTTCAATAATCGTACATATACCAATTTTAGTTGTTTAGTACCCATAATACTTTTTTATTGACTTTCTTAATATATTGTTTTATATTTGTGAATTTCTGATACAATTTATTGATCAAGAAATGAGTCAAGATGGATAAGATTTGTACGATATAAACCAATTACTCCAATTAGCTAAACCACGTCGGCTGTGTAATACGAGTAGTGCCAGTCCTACGATTTTGCAGACGATAACATAAACAATGATAGATTTCCTAACTTCACTAAACTGACCAAGAAATTGCAGACAATAGAACTAGTTCCAATTTATTGGCCAATTCTGAGGAATTTGACTTTAAAACTGTATTCAATAGTACACATTTTAGTTATATGTGTTCTCAATACAATTTTGAATTTGAAATATAAGTATATTGCATCTAAATTCATAATAACTAATAACGTGTTTGATAATTATACATAATAATTACAATTAACGTTTCAGCTTAAGTGGTATTCAAAACGTTTATTACTAAGGCATTTATACTATTACCACATCTATTACTACAAAATACAAATCTTTTAAAATTACTCGTATAGTAAGTTTAAATACAAATGAAAATTATTTATTTCAGTTCGCTATGCTAGTGCCATCTACATAAAACTTACCAAATTAATATGTTACTGTCGGAGTGTTATGCAACTAAGATTACAGTAGCAAGATGAAAATTACATAAGAACGAGGAGTTTCAATACTTTTGCATTTTTCAAATTTGTATTTTCTTTAATGATAATAACTACCTTACCTTTCAGTTGCAATTAGTTTAATGAATATCTTCAACATTTCACAAATTTCATATCAAAATTTGATAAAATAAAAAACTATTTTAATTGTTATAATTATAAAAATATATTACCTTACTTTCTTTACCATTCTTATACAGGGTAGGAAAGTACCGATGGTCTATCTGAAGTTACGTGATAGCGATAAAGTAAGCCATAGAAATACATGCGATAGAGAAGGATGGCTATAATGAAGGCTTCTCTTAGTCACCGCCCGTTTCGCCCTTCCACAAATAAGATCCACTTCTTATTTGTGGAAGGGCGAAATGGGCGTTGACTATTAGACGCCTTCATTATAGCCATCCTTGTCTATCACATGGATTTCTATGGCTTACTTTACCGCTCTCACGTAACTTCTGATAGACCATCTAGACTTTCCTACACTGTATGTATCTATAATATGCTTGTGATGATATACTGCACATATGAACTTTCTTGTTGGTTTTTCAAGAAAACATTCTTGATAAAAATGTTATCTTGGGATGCTACATAATAATAAAATATACAGGACATTCAAAAAAATTTAAATATCAAATGTCTTAGAGCAAAGTGCTCTCAATTATTTTTTTCAAAAATTTAATTCAATAAAGGTGTTCAAAAACTGAAGAGATAGTTCTTAAGTACCTGTATGTAGTTTAAATAGAAAGCAATATAAATTATTTTTCACTAAAAAATACCTAACATTATTTTAACCTTTTAAAATCCTATGGATTTATGGAGAAAAATACTTAGTGCAGCTATAAACATAAATTTGTTAGTTTCTGTTTGCACGTTTTATCTCAAAATTACCTGCAAGGCAATTATTCTGATACAATCAAATGTGATTTTGCTCCAGTTCTTAAATTAAAGAGGGGTGTACCTCTTTTAAAAAAATATATTTGTAATTTTTTTTATCAATAAAGTTAATACTGTATTCTAATTTCAATGAAATACCTTCAAAGAGCTCAAGGTAAGGGTATTTATAGCTGTTAAGGGGGGCATTTTTATGGTACACTACGATGTTTAGATGGGTGCCCATGTTTTCTGTAATTTTTCACTACGAAAAGTTCAGGGAATTGTATTTCAACATTTTTATAGTTTAGATGGATTTTCTCGTTATATCATTGTCTTACTCGATTCCTTGTCTATAAAACGACAGCCTTAAAGTTAGATACACTTTTCCTCATTTTTTTTTATAAGTTATTCAATTCCTGAGCAAATCTTTTTTTGCGGTTGGTAACAAAAATTTGGTGTAGGAATAAGTCTGCCGCTAAGTTTTTACATTTGTTGAAAACAGTTACAACAAAGTATACTTACATGGCAAAAGAACAAAAATGACAGTTTATAACATTAAATAATTTTCTCGGTTTTAATTAACCAACTTCCTTTTTCTGTGCGTTTTTCGATTCTTTATTTCCTACCTAGAAATTTCGCCTTGTTTTCTAAATCCTCTCTAATACAAAACCTGTTTTATATATTTTTTTGTGATAATACACCATAGAAATATACATAATTATTTAGTTATTTAATGTCATACATCTTTTCCTTTGCTGTGCATTATTTGACAAAGAATTGTCAATAACTGTCCTTTGGATGCATTTTCGTCCGAATTATTTTCGTCAGAAATCGTGACCGGTAATTTTGTCAGATTTCGCCCATATGGTATCGTCCACTGGACAAGTTTTTGCTTTGCAGAAGTCAGTTGTACATTTATGATGATGTCAGCATATTATAATATGAATGATTATCTTTTGGAAAATAGTTTTTTTATCCATTTCTAACAAAACCAATACGGACAAAAATGCATCCAACAGACGACCAGCCTAAATGTGAAAATATGACTAGATACTCTTTTTTAATTTCTAGGTAAAAAAAATTCCCTGAGGATTTTATATCTTACAATAAAAAAAGGAAAAACATATCTAACTTTGAGTTTTTAAATTGTTTCCCTTTTCTTTTTTAATACAGAGCCAGTGTTTTTAAATTTTTTTATAGTATTATCTGTGACTATCATGTCAGGACATTTCTCAATAAATCGTCTTTGAACTGTCGCGAATGATATTTCTTCACCCAAACCATAGCATACTTTTTGTTCGAGAGTGAGCATTGTAATCTCGAATCAAATATTACCTAATTAATCACGAAATGACTTTGACAGAAGATTTTAAACTCCCTTATTATAGCACGCACAATCAGGTGCCTGCCTCGTTTAAAAAAAAATTCAACAGAAATTAGTGAAACCTCAAATTTTTAATCCCCTGTGGATTCTAAATGACATCCCTGATAATATTTTTCGATATTGTCAAAAATAACGGCACTTTTACTCTTGGCGACTAACAATATTTTTCTAAATACTGAACACCATGTATAAAAAATGACAAATATTTTAAGTTTTGACCGTTTTGGAGCAACAGGAGTTTTTACAAAGAGTGACTTTTTGTCGTAAACCCACAAATAAAAACTTTTTCCCTCTTCCGGACATTACAGTGGGACACGCTGTAGAAATAACTATGAGCACAGGATTAAAATTCTAACAATGTTTTATTGTTAACGTGTAATGGTTTCACAGGGTCTAACGACACTTAAGAGTGTATGATAATTCAAGAAATATAGAAATCTAAAAAAAAAATTAGATAAAGGAACGAATACATTGAAGCTGAATTTTTCGAGACAAAACATCTGAATCTGGTTTGGGCTGAGGCAGGACAGTATTGGGGGTCATGAAGGGTTGGAAAAAATGTAATAAAATATATAGGGTTGTATTTAAAAAAATTAAGTTGATGATGGTCCTGGAGAAACAAAACGTTACATATAAAAATTGATTATGCCATTCGATAGAGGGCAAAAGGTTGCCATGAGAAAGTATTCTTTTTTCACCTCAATACCACCTTAAACAAGGCTGAAATGAAACAAAAACGGACTTCCAAAATTTTTTATTTTTTTTTAATATTTCGAAAACTAATCACAGCCCTAATTTTTTAGAAGGATTTAAGCTACTTCGTATCTTACCTTTTCCAAGATCCCTCTAGTGAGAGGCGAATTTGTAACAGCCTGTATATTCACATTCTGCACTCAAAATATATTTTGTTCAGTTTAATACAGAGGGGTTTCTAAGGATGTTACATTAAAAATATATTAGCTTTCAGATAAAAATTTTAAATTTTTTTTTAAATTGACCCCTTTTCAATTTTAGAACCCGACGTCTATGATTAAAATCAAATTTAGTTATACAGAGCTTTCATAACTGATTACGAGCCATATGACCAGTAATTTTGATTGGAACATTAATTTCAATTTCATGTTGGCGATTAAATTTTGGTAAAATTAAAAATTACTAAAATAAGATCGTTAAACGTTAAAACACAACATTCTGTTTCACCAGCTGGTGATTGGTGTAATCTTTCAGGAGATTTTATTCAACCAATCAGCGATTGCAATATCTCGTGTGTAGACATAACGTTTTGTCATTGTTTACCATAAAAGAATCATTAAATTTGGCGACGCTATTAGGGATTTTTAGTCGACAGTACCATCCTAAACATTTATAAAGGCTCTATTTAAATAATCGCTTTGCAGATTGTACAACCTCACACTAAAATGCCAAAAAGATTTAATTTAAAATAATCAATATATTAGGGTGGCGCCATGAAAAGTAAAACACACTGTATACAAAAACTATTAAAATAAAAAACCTGTGTAGTCAAATAATCTTTTTTATTAAATATTCTTAATTATAACCATAAGAATTGATGATCTCTGTAAATGGTTTAACTTGTTTGGCAACCTTCTCGGAGGCCGTTTTGGTGATTTTCTTAAGTTTGTCACGTTTGCGGATAGCAAGAACCGCCTTAACTTTACGTTTGGACTCGAGGGTGCGCACGACAGATTGGTATTTCCATCCGACTTCGTGGGACAGACGTCCTACGTGACAGAACTGAAAAAAAAATGTCACTGATTAAAATTCGAATACCACACACATCAGTCATTATTCCTATTTACATATACTCATATACGGATTTTATTTCATTATTCTTCAAATAATGTAGGTAAATATTAGAATAATCATGATTAACTTTTTTTTTAAAGAAAAATTTACCGAACACTGAAATTACACGATTTTATAAAGAAACGACAAGTCACTATTAAAAATGCACTTACTTTGCGTCCTGGTTTGAGGCATATCACTCTAAGTGCACCAGGTACTACGACACGCTTCCTACGATCGTACGGTGGAGGGATGCCTTCATACGCCTTCAATTTACGGAGTGCCTGCTTACCCCTCTCGGTTTTGTGTGGCAACATTCCTACAAATGACGAATGAAACTGTCAGTAGGCTCATATTAAAAATAGAATTAGGGGTTGCAAACAAGAGTGGTCATTTAATTAAATCTTGTTTCATTATATTGGTGTCAAATAATGTAGGTAAGATAATTTATAATCATGTTAAAATAATTTTTGGTTATTTTTTAGAATAACAGAAAACACTTGAACCAAACAAAAATTTTTCCTCTCCCCTATTTACAGAGGTGCTGAACACGAATCTGGATACAAGATGCAGTCAAATCTAGTTTTTGAGAGAAAAAAAAATAAGCAGACAACAAATTTTTACTGAAATTTATATGGTTAAATGAGGCTAAATTTTTTTTTACTTTCTGCCAGATTTTCACAATACTAATAATCGTGGAACGAATTAAAATTTATTTTTTATTATATATTTTAAACTATAATTAACTTTATATCAAAATTTTAGTAATTAATCATTACTAACTACAGTCACTAACAATCACTAACATTTTGATATAAAGTTAATTAGAGTTTAAAATATTACTGAGAATGTATGGGTTGTTTATGAGATATCCATCGATAAGTTATGAGAAAAGTCACTTATTCTCTACACCGTAATATTGTAAGAGTTCAATTAAAAGCCTTTTTTCTCGAAAACCCTCCACATTAGGAAGTTCTAGCAAGAGTACATTATTTTTAGAAATTAAAATTGTACATTAGAAATTGGAGCCCGAAAAACCTAACCTCAAAAAAATTTGAACCTAAAATGTAATAGAAATGTAGCATAATTAGCGCCTTCTATGAAATATCCGAAAAATAATTAGACCAGCATATTTGGCGTCCTTAAAAACCTCTGAATACCAAATTTCATAAAAATATTTCGCAGTTTGGAAATTTTCATAAAACAATTATATTTAAAAAATTTTATTTTGTTGCTCTGTATCTCGAAGACAAGAGGAGATAGACATATAGTTCACGAGAAAAAATTATTATTTTTTGTCGTACTGAATTTATGGGAGGTCTTTCTGAAATACCCTGTATAATGATTGTATAATGTAATATATTAACATATCGAAATATTATAGCCTAAAAAAGTAATATGAATGAATATACTGATTACAAACGTAATATGCCATTCATTGGCTATATTAAGAGAGGAAACCACATTAGGGGTTTCAAAGAATCGGATTTCTTTTACTGCATAAATTGTTAATATTCAAGAATATGTTACTAAAATTTCAAAACGAAATTCTTATTCGTTCCGATTTTACGAGCTTAAAACCAAATGCCCAACGGGTCAGCGCTCAGTCACACAGCAGTTAGTCCAGTCACTTATTAAGCAAGAAAAGAACAAAAGACAAGCTCAGAATGATGCCTTTGAGGAAGGACTGTTATATGGTGCTGGATCAATTATTGATCGGAAAGCACTCTATATTATTAACTTTTCAAATTTTTAGTTTTCGGAAATCTTCAAACGGTTTTTCTCAAAGCGACATTTTTTTGATTCACGGGAATTCTAGCTCAAAAAGTTATGAACCGATCGTTATGAAAATTGAAAGAGTGTTTCTTTATGAAATTACAAAGAACATAAACCAACAATTGGAATGATATCATAATTTTAAGGGTGTATTTTATTCAGAAATAAGTGAAAAAAAAATTAAATTCAACATATTTTTTTCAAGCACGTGTCAAAACTTTAGTTTTCACAATTTTTACCCGCAATGAGATTCACATTCTTAGAAAACATGTTAATAATGCAGGAAAACCATTTTGCTTTCAGATCAGAATTACGATCACATTTCCTGTCAACAACTCGGACGACAACCTTCGTTGAACAACAGCCCATAACTTAGGCATTTTCAACACAAATGACTTGAAAAAATTTGTAAATATAGTTCAAAATATTGATAAAATAATGTCAAAATTTGACCACATTCTAATCTGTGCTACTCAAATAAAATTCATGACAAAAGGATAAAAATCAGCCTCCCAATGTGGTTTTCTCCCTTAGATTTTGAATAGAGAAATAGTATGAAAAATAGAATACTACCTGACTCTTAAAATACTAGCTGCTCTCGGATACCTGATGAAAGTACTCAATTTTAGTTCTCGATAGTTGCCAGGCTACCTAATAAATACCGTGCGAGATCGAGTGCGGGAAATATTTGAATGAATTTAAACTAATTTAGCGTATCAAGTGAATTGAAAGAATTTGAATTCATTTAACTCTCAGTGGTTACCAAATAGCATTCCCTTGAACAAACGGATGTAAACAGAAATAATTTCAAGTAATAATATATCTACACATATTGTATGATTTTAAAAATATTTATTGGAAACAAAAGGACATATTGGAATAAAATTTTTTAGAAAATATATTTAAATAACAGCATCAAGTAATAATATATCTACACAGATTGTATGATTTTAAAAATATTTATTGGAAACAAACGGACATATTGGAATAAAATTTTTTAGAAAATATATTTAAATAACAGCAAATTTAAATAATTCCACATCACGATTATAATGTTTTTAATTCAACGTTTAATCTTCTGTCCAGCACTCGGTTCTCGATTCTCAGTACTCGGATAATCATTCGATTCTTAAAAGTATCCGAGAACTAAGTAATCGATGTTGGCCGTCACTTATTATGAAAGTATATCATTAGCCAAATGAACAAAATAATGTTTATATTTTGCTTCACCTGATATCATTTTGCTGCCCTTAGAAACAAACGTGATACTTAGTAACTTTGTTTCAGAGAATAGAGAAATGTGAGAATGAAACGAAAATGGTGGATATAATATATACATTAAATATATGTCTTTCTAACAGGCCCAGTCCTTCAGATTTTGGAAATTCCAGAATTCTTTACTCAGGGAATACCCTTTTATAAATTGTACCTAGACCATAAAACTTAGAAATAGTTATTTATGAATTAAGCCGGGTATATTTTTCCCGAGTTTTATGATGGCAAGCTTGGGTTTGGAGGGACTTACGGGTCACTCAACGTAGCCGCAGTCAAAGGACATTTACCTTATAATTACTTTATAAGGGAATCTCTAAGGGATAACGAATTTGATTTGGTGATGTACTGAAGGCAGTTCTATTTGAGCATTGAAGACGCGAGTACACCGCTATTCTGTTGACCATGGATTCGTTATCGGGCCTCTGGTTGTTGTCATAAAACACCTCGAGTACTTTATTTGTAACGTTTCATTTTAAATCATTTTCATTTACGGTATTACTTATTATTTCGTGAAGATGTGATACGAGTAGTGATATTAACGCCCAAGTTAGCCCTACGACTCCAACATATATTTTACAGGTTACAATTTTACATATTTTTTTTTTCTGAAAAACTAGATTCGACCGCACAAAACTCATTTCACGTTCGTGTTCAACACCCTCGAAAATAGAAACGTGGGAAAAATTTTGGGAGACTAAGCATTTTCCGCAATACTAAATGATTATTAATTTTTCTCCGAGTAATAGGAAATAAAATCACTTACCCCTCACCGTTTTCCAGAAAATTCTTGAAGGGGCTCTAAAGTGGAATGGGCCTCTCGCAGGATTTACATTACAGCGTTTACGCAAAAACGACAGATACTTTAGTTTGTTCCTACAAAGAAATTATTGGACGTTAATACAGCGCTTATTTAATGACATTTACACTTACCTGTAGAAGTTTCCTGAAATATTTAACTGTTCACATCTGACTACAGTAACTTTATTTCCTTGCAAAAGGGTTTTTGCAACAATAGCCGCAAGTCGGCCAAGTAAATGACCCCTGCCATCTATAAGGATAGCCTGGAAAAAGAAATATTGGTACAAGAAGGTGTAAACACGTGTACATAACGAATAAGGTTAAGTGCACAAATTTTATTTTTAACTCGACTCCCCAATAGATAAATTTTATTCGCGAAAATCACTACCGCAGGTGTACTTTGTTAATTTCACATATTCACAAACAGTTAAAACAAATAATTTAAGTTAATTAAGCAAGTACCTTTTCACTAAAACCAGTCATGTTTCTCTCATTTGCGGAAAAGACAGCCGCCGGAAGAGCTGAAAGATGGCAGACTTGTTTACATGTAGTACCAACTTAATTTTACCGGATCTTCAAAAACCCGCCAATTTTAAAAGGAATATAATAAGTTCTGCAATCTTAACAGTTATCGTTTCGTTTCAACTTGAAGTAATTATAAAAAAATTAAAATGCGGAAATATGTATTAAACTTTTATTGCTATTTGGAAAAACTTTAAATTAATAAACATATAACAAAAGAAAAGTGTCGGTTATTTATTTAAATACAATTCCAGATTCTTAATATACAATTACTGTTATCTTAAAATCTAAACTATCCTAATAAGGTCTTGGGGGTCCTGGAGGTCCGCCTCGCATCATACCAGGTGGTGGCCCCCTCATTCCCATGGGCGGTGGAGGACCCCCACGTCCCATACTCATTTGTGGAGGCATTCCCATCATACCAGGTGGAGGGCCCATCATTCCTGGAGGTGGTCCGCCCATCCTTGGTGGACCTTGGTTCATCTGCGGAGGTGCTGATACTTGCCCTCTTCCGCCAGGTGTCATGACCTGTTGGGACGGCCCTCCTACACCACGGACTGGACCTTGGAGACCCACTGGTACGCCTCCCATGCCTGCGGGCATGCCACGGCCGGAAGCCCTTCCTATACCTGAAAAATTGGAAAATTATGTATGAAACTTAATATCGTTTATTATTGCAATAGAAAACACCCAATAGTGACTTATTAGAAACCATTAATAAAAAAGTAAATATAACATTTTGGAATGGCCGATGTAGGAGAAATTGACCTCGAAATGAAATTTTGATAGCTGGCCACAAACTATATGTTGCTTAAATAATAAGCAAATAATTTGTTTCTATTACTTATGACTAGTGACAAATCGTTATTCGTAATTCAGTGGTGACTTTTAGTTACTTTTTATATTTTCCATTTAGTATTATATAGATCTTACCTGGCCCTGGTGTGGCACCAGGAATAGGCACTCTTGGAAGACCTTCCTCTGGTGGTGGTGGACCCTCAACTGTCAACGATACAATGCTCTCCCCTCGCAGCAAGACAAAACCCAAAACTCGTTTCTCCTCCCGTTCTACTTTCGAATTTTTAGGCTTTATTTTACGAAATTCTTCACAATCCCCCAATATCATATTCATATGTTTGTCGAATGCTTTAAATGTTCCTATAAAGGTGCGAGAATCTTGAAGAGTAATTCGCACCCTATAGTTTATGTGCTGTATCATTTTATTATTCTTGCCTATCGTCTGAAATACAAAGTTTATTAAAAAAAGAAACGAATAAATATAATAATTCTTACCATTTTGATGGATTATTTGATACTTTTTAAAGAACAAACGTAAATCAAACGTTTAATATAACCTCAAAGTTGTTTACGAACCGCCGGCGTCATTCGATTCGTCAAGCGACAGGGGCGCCACTTCCGGTCTTGAATCGTATAGCGGGTAATTTAAATCTATTGTATAAGCGGGAAATTTGAAAAGTGAAACAGTAAGTTAAAGTAAAAACTTTATTTTGGTTTATAAGTATAAGGCAGTTTTATAATGACATCAGTCGTTTAATTACAGAGACTAGACGGGACTAGTGTAGTTAAAAATATCATTGGTAAAGTACAAAATTGTATACTTATATACAAACAACACACACACTTTTTAAACGAAAAAATAACAAAACATAATTAGCGGCTCCATCAACACTTCGAAGTAACCATTGATATACTTAATTAATGAAAATTTCGAAAATATTGCTAATGTAGGTAATGAAAACTTATTGTATGTCATTCACACACCTTTTTAACATATCGTAAATGTAATAGGTTGATAATACAGTGCATAATATCGACTATAAGCAAAAACCGATTTTGTCTTTGCAACTAATGAAATCACATCTCGCTGAACTTAAAAATGTTAAAAGCAATGTAACTCATTTGTGGAAATAAAATTTAAATACAAAATTTCGTCTCTTTATGGATACATCTTCAGAATCATTAGAAATAATTTTTTGGTTTTCTGATAGCCCTGAAGATATATCAGTAAAGACACGAAACGTCGACATTCAGAAAATTATTATTGATTGGGCTACTACTTCTATAATTTAATTATATAGTATTTAAGTTTATATTTAGAGTCCACTCAAATACTATAATAGTTGTGTAAAAATGCTTTATAAAAATCAGTGAATACTTAAAGTTAACAGAAATTAAATAATTCTCATCAATATATGTAACTAAAGTCAACAATTTGATTTTCATTTTATATGTGTAAGATATATCTAACCAATTTCTTAAATTCATCAAGAAAATGTAGAATGGATTTGCTTTCAAATTAAAAAAATTCTTACACATTTGTCCGTTTCGAACAATTTTTAACACAACAATTTTGAAACCAATTTAGCTTCAATATGTTGGCAGTCAATTACATATATATATACAGAGTGTCGCACCACGAACTCCATCGATGGATTTCTGGGCAACCGCTCGAAGGATTTTTTTGAAATCGTGATGGTGTGATACGGACCATGGGACCTACCAAGCTAAAATATTTTTAAGGTCATCGTACTTCCGGTTATACCGGAAGTCGATACTAACTTTCTTATTTTAAATGGAACCCCCTGTATATTATTACATTTTTGGAAATAGCATCTATTTTTAAGTTGAAAACATACTTAGGATTGACCGTTTCCGCGATATTTTGATATTTAAGCAAAAATTGACAGATGTAGACTGTCAGCAAAATTTAGTTTTCCCGGAAACATATGCTTATTTTTTTGTGCAAATTGGACATTTTGTAGACGAAGACCTAATTTATCGAATTTGACATGAAAATTTTCCAGTTTTTATACAGGGTGGTCAAAAAATTATCGAATATGAAGTTCAGAAAATGTGGAAATCTCGAAATTTTTAAATGGAAACCCCTAATTTTTTTAACGTATTCGCATTCTACACTAAAATTTCCCTATACCAGTGGTTTTCATTTTATTTACGAATAAACAGTTCCCTTTTCTTAAAATGATGTTTCCATTTGTTTCGCAAATTTTAGATTGGCCGTGACAGGTAAGTAACAATCAACATGACAACTGTCACAGGTTTTTAATTGTCAAATTTATTTTTCACACCTTCGGATAAGTTCCTTGTGGGTCGCTGCTCGCTGCTCGCTGCTCGCTGCTCTATAATAAAATCCGGTGATAAATGGTCAAATGGCCTTACTCTATGCATATAATTTTCCTTCGTTGTTACTGGAGTTACTATACACGCTATAGCATATATCACCGGATTTTATTAGAGCAGCGACCTACAAGGAACAGAATAAATTTGACAATTAAAACCCTGTGACAGTTGTCATGTTGATTGTTACTTACCTGTCACGGCCAACCTAAAATGTGCGAAACAAATGGAAACATCATTAATTTAGGAAAAGGGAAATGTTTATTCGTAAATAAAATGAAAACCACTGGGTTTAGGTATAGGGAAACTTTATCAAAGTTACACTCAATTTTAGTGCAGAATGCGAATACGTTAAAAAAATTGGTTTTCCATTTAAAAATTTCGAGTTTTTCACATTTTCTGAACTTCATATTCGATATATCTTTTGACCAACCTGTATAAAAACTGGAAAATTTTCATGTCATATCGATAAATTAGGTCTTCCTCTACAAAATGTCCAATTTGCACAAAGAAAATAAACCTATGTTTCCGGGAGAACTAAATTTTGCTGACAGTCTGCATCTGTCAATTTGTGCTTAAAAATCAAAATATCTCGGAAACGGTCAATCCTAAGTATGGAGTGTGCTATATTTTTTCAACTTAAAAATAGATGCTCTTTCCAAAAATGCAATAATATACAGTTGGTTCCATTTATACAATAAGAAAGAAGAAAGAAGATCAACTTCCGGTATAACTGAAAATACGATGATCTTGAAAATAATTTAGCTTGGTAGGCCCCACGGTCCTTTATCACACCATCAGAATTTCAAAAAAATCCTTCGAGCGGTTGACCAGATATCCATCAATGGAGTTTGTGGTGGGACTCCCTGTATATTTTCCATAAAGTATGAGTATTTTTTCATAATTTTCAATAAATACGTTGCTTGTATCTAGCTAAAAACTAATTTGCAAGAAGCTTGAATACCCGGTGATCAATATAGAAATTTACAGGGCGATTCATTAATATTGCGGAAAAATGTAGGTGATGCTTTTATAAAAAAAAAAAATAAGAAAAAAGTTCTTGTAAACAGGTGAATGGAAACGCTCGTTTTCGAGATACAGAGTGTTGATCTGATTTTTATTGATATCAGTAAAGCTCTTTTTCCGATTTTATTGGAACCATGCAGGTTTGTTTACAATAATAAAACGGATCTTTTACTGTTTATTTATTTATTGTAGTGGCGCCCCATAAGGCAACCCAGGGAATATTAATAGCAAGAAATATGGCACACCACTGCTTTTTATTAAGGTTAATATTTATTTTGCTGTGGAATGGCATATTTTTGTTGGTATTAATATCTGTATGTTGTAGGTTGCCCTTCGGGACGTCACTGGAATAAATAAATAAAATCTAGTTGCATTAAGTATAATACTTTATTGTTGCAAATAAATGGTTTCTATAAAATTGGAAGAATAGTTTTTCTGGTATTAATAAAAAAAAACACTTTTTAAGAAAAATTTCAACACCTTTTATCTCTTTTTTTGTTACGTATTTTTTTAAGGAACCTCCACCCGCAATACGCACTTATAATGAATCACCCTGAGTATAAAAAACAAGAAAAACCAGATTAAAGTAGTAAAAGATCAATGACAGTAGTTGCACTTGGGGTGACACTTGACGCCGTTGACCCCGCACTGGCACCCGCCGGAAGTGTCGCCCTTGCCCGCGGGTCCCCAACGGGGTCCTCGCGTCACCCAGCATATTTCAGTTTTGCACATTGAGCACCTTAACCAATCACAGCCCCATTTCTTCATCAAGATCACTTTACAGGTAGGACATTCGATGGCTTCGCCCCTCTCCACCATTTCGTTCAGCATCGTCCTGGTCCTTCTCGCGTCCTCGTCGATTTCGGATTCCTCCTTCATCCTCTCTTGGTACTGCTTGCAGTTCACGCCCATGTGGATGGCCTACAGTGGTAAAAAAGAAACGTTCGAGTTAGCACTCAGAATGGAGCTAAATCATAGCAGGTAAATGTCAAACTGAATAAAATTGTTTGCTGAATTGTTTGCTTTACTTGTTTCCATCTGACAGTCACCTACTATAATATTTACTTTACGTCAAACGTCTTCCGAGATATTTTAGAAAATTTATAATTGGCTTTTTTATTTTTCGAAGGATTTCAAAACATTTAGTCGTAGTATCATGTCTTTTTTTATCTTTATTACCCGAGTTCAAATTTTAACTTTAATAAATGAAGCGAATTTGAAACGTCAAGTAAAAAATCTCGCGCGCGACGAGAGCCACATTTACGCGCATATGCGGGCCCGGCGCTCCTTCTCTCGCGTGCAGGCCGTTCATTAACGTTAACTTTTACTGATGCTAGCGCGTTTAATACATGAACTATCAATGTAAAACTTTTTGAAAATAAAAGTTTAACCATTTCTTTAATTCTCTCTAAAATCCCGGTCCGATACGTCCATTACATAAACAATTAACGTAATAAAAAAGTTATCTTTTAAAATTATCGTAAAAATAAGCTCTATTTAATGCAAAAAGAGCGAATTCCTGAGCGGTTTTTGCCTGACGTTGGGACAATTTGTTTATAATGGTGATTTGCACGACCTACGTTAGCTGTAAAGGGTAACTTAATTTCAACTTTTTGAAATTTTCGATACGTTTGTTTGGATCAATTAGAACTTATATCTACGTTATTAACTTCTAAAATTAACGTTTAGTAATTAAACAATTAGTTGCAAAAAAAAACGAACGAAATTAATTAACAATTACCTGGAGCAACAATTTCACGGGCAATTGAATCGGTCATTGGAATGACCGTCTTTTCCATAAATTTTATCAACATCCATCGCTTTTTGCAATAATCATGCGTAATTTTCGAAAACTGATTTTTTTGACGTTCAACCTTTATTTGACAGTTAAAAAATTGGTGAAATATGACTTTAGATACCTTAAATTGTAGACAATTTAATTGTCTACAACATAAAATTACTAAGGTTCCGATAGGTCGTCTAGATTTTCGTCCCACTTCTTTCGAGTTAGTTTTTTTGATATTAGGTATCATTCTACATACACTTTTATGACGGCCGTCATAAACTGCAATAAAATGCCTACTAATATGTAATTTTTTCACGTTCAAACTCTAATTCGATTGGAGTATATAGAAAATAGAATAGTTTAAAGTTTTGTATAAATTCTTATTTAATTGAATGAAAGATAAATTCAACCTTAAATAATTACCTATGTACCCCTAACTTTTGAGAAATTGAAGAAACGTAATTGGCATTTGTCGACATCCGCTACTGACTAGCGTCTAACATTATATATGGATTTTTACTAGTGAACTGTGCATTCTACAAAGAAAGCACAAATTTGATAGAAATTGTCCATTCAAATCAACTAAAGTCAAATTTATAGTTAAAATCCCTTATACTGCATCTAATTCTTACACCACTATTGCTTATTACTTAAATTTTACACGCAAGGAAATTATCACAAGGCTTGTACCAGTGTATACTTTCAACAGTTTTTGTTTAAAAATCTTTTATTCCCAATTTTTTAAAGATTATATAGTCCAGTCACTGAAGTATTTTCGCTAAATTTTTCGCTCGTGAAATTTAAACTGTAGCTGGGGAATAGCCCAAGAAACAAAAGTTATATAGTGCCGATGTGTGCTTTTACCCTAGGGGTGGATGCCACCCCTTCTGGAGGGTGGGATTTTTTTTTATTAAAAATAACCTCACGGTTCGATAGAGGGACGAATTCCAAGCAAAAAATGTTCTATGATAATTTTTTGTACAGCCAATACTTTTTGAGTTATATTTGCGCCTAAACATGTTCATTTTTAGCCCAAAAAATGCTTGTTTTTGAGCCATTTTTCGGGAATATATATAAAAAAAGATCATAAGCAAAAATGAAGGTAATTAAATAGCAAAGAGATTGCTTTTTTAATTTTTGTAGGTGGTATAGAACCCGAGTTATGCCTCCCAGAAGTTGAAGTCAATTTCGAAGATGGCTATAATCGAAACGTTCAACGCACTGTAGCGGAACAATTAAAGGTTTTTCGAGGAAAACTTGTATAAGACTTATTAAAGTTCTTGAAAAGACCTTTAAATTGAGTGGTAGAAAAGTCGTTAGCATGAAAACTCATGAAGTTACAATCAAAATAAAATGATTGTCTTGATTTTTGAGAAAAGAAATCGGTACTTTTTAAAATTAATGACTTGACGGAAAAAACAAGTAAACGTATTCCTTCTGCAGTTTACTTTATTTATGTATTAACAGTAGATTCTGGGAATTTGAACGATTTTAGAAGCCTAAATTTAAAAAAAATATTTCATTTACTTTTGAATAAAATTTTTGAATTTTTTAAAAAATCGCCTTTTTTCAAAATATTTCAAAAACTAACAAAGTTATAAAAAAATGATACAATAAAAAATTGTAGGTTTTTTTTCTTACTGAACAATTCGCTTTTTTTTAATTTTTGTAGGACAAAATTTGAGTTATGATCGTTAGAAGCTCAAAACTAAGCTCCAAGACTGCCTTTCCTGAGCCCTTTTAGCTTTAAAATCTATAAAACGAAGGGCTCAAAAAACCTGCAAATCACAGAACTTAAAGTGCTTTAAATTCCCTACAAAATGGTTTTTTGAGTAAATTTATAACTTTAAAATTACAAGAGTTATGTTAAAAAAATTAATCGCATTTTTTCGGTAAAATTTTCGGAGCGGGTAAATTACCATGATCTTTGTGCATTTTGGAGCACTTGTGAGTAAGTATTTTAATAATATACATACGAATACACACACGTATCCGAGTTCACATGTGTATGTGTGTGTNTATAGTCCAGTCACTGAAGTATTTTCGCTAAATTTTTCGCTCGTGAAATTTAAACTGTAGCTGGGGAATAGCCCAAGAAACAAAAGTTATATAGTGTGGAGGTAATTAGGCAAAGAGATTGCTTTTTTAATTTTTGTAGGTGGTATAGAACCCGAGTTATGACTCCCAGAAGTTGAAGTCAATTTCGAACACAGCTATAATCGAAACGTTCAACGCACTAGCGGAAAAATTAAAGGTTTTTCGAGGAAAACTTATATAACACTTATTAAAGTTCTTGAAAACACCTTTAAATTGAGTGGTGGTAAAAGTCGTTAGCATGAAAACTAATGAAGTTACAATAAAAATAAACTTGATTTTTGAATAACAAAAATCGGTTAATGACTTGACGGAAAAAAAATTAAACGTATTCCTTCTCCAATTTACTTTATTTATGTATTAACAGTAGATTCTGGGAATTTGAACGATTTTAGAAGATTTTAAAAAAAATATATTTCATTTACTTTTGACTAAAATTTTTCAATTTTTTAAAAAATCGCCTTCTTTCAAAATATTTCAAAAACTAACAGTTATAAAAAAATGATACAATAAGAAATTATAGGTTTTTTCTTACTGAACAATTTGCTTTTTTTTAATTTTTGTAGGACAAAATTTGATTGACTTATCACCGTTAGAAGCTCAAAACTAAGCTCCAAGACCGCCTTTCCTGAGCCCTTTTAGCTTACAAATCTATAAAACGAAGGGCTCAAAAAACCTGCAAATCACAAAACTTTAAGTGCTTTAAATTCCATACAAAATGGTTTTTTGAGTAAACTTTAAAATTACAAAAGTTATGTTAAAAAAATTAATCGCATTTTTTCGGTAAAATTTTCGGAGCGGGTAAATTACCATCATCTTTGTGCATTTTGGAGCACTTGTGAGTAAGTATTTTAATAATATACATACGAATACACACACGTATCCGAGTTCACATGTGTATGTGTGTGTACATTCGGAAAAAATAGTAAGAATAAATTCAATAAAATTTAAAAATATATATATTATATCATACTCACATATAATTTTTAGGAAATTTTTCTATAAGGGGTAGGGTTTTGTATGAGGGGTAGGTCTTCCATAAGGGTTTTTTGGGTGGCTGAAAAGTTGCAATATATCATAGATCATTTGAAAACCAATAATAAGTTCATAATTCAACATATGCATATTATTCAAACATCTCAAGCTTTCAATAATATTTTTTATTTATTTTATTATAAGGAATAGTTTTTAAGGGTTGAAACTTTGTAATGAGTCGTAAGCTTTCTAATGAATAACAAAAGAAATGCAATACATTGTGAATGCACCAAAAGAATATTTTAAACTGTTAAACACTTTTTTTTTCTATTTTTTTTGGCCATGGAAAGGTGGTTTTTAAGGATTTTTAAGGGTTGAAAAGTAATTAAATTTCATAAATTATATTAAAAAACATGAAAGGAACTTTATCCAATATATTTGAACATGAATTGAATCTTTAAAATACGTAAATCTACGATTTTCACATTTTTTTCGTACAAGGGTAGTTTTCACCCCCAAATAGAAAAAAGCACACATCTAGACAATATAACTTTTGAAGTGGGGGGTCAGATGAGCTTGTATGCAAATTTTCAGGAAAATCCATGCTATTCGAAAAAATTGGGAGCTTTTACCTTATTTTCGCCTTCAGTGACTGGACTAATAGAACCTTAAAAATTGACCCCAGAAAAAAATTACTACAGTCTTTTCCGTTTGTTTGGTATAACGGGAGGAATCACCCTGAAAATTTATTGCAACGTGGTTAGTCACACTCTGAATTTAGTCGTAGTAGACTGAAAGTTCTTTCACGCAATTTCATACATTGTTCTCGTATTTCATTCCCTGGTGACTCACAGACGAGACCGAGCCCTAAAAATAGCGACACATCATATAGTACATACCTGACACGTCAAGCAGTTCGTTTTCCTACACACGGGGCATCTAAACTCATTCACATTGTCCTCGAACACGCACCAGCCTTTGCAGTCTGGCGTTTTGCAGTGGAACGACTTGTCCATCTTATTCTCAGCCTGCGCCACGGACTTGGCCAGATGTTGCTCGTAGACGGCGGGAGAAACCAATGCCTTTATCTCCCTGTCCTGAAGGGCGATGTTGCAAGAATAGTCGTCGTCTCTGTACGGACACTTCACCTCCGCCTCCTCGTTATACTCTATCGTGTGCGCCAAACAGGCCTTGCAGAATTGGTGGAGACATTCTCGAAGGGTTATCCCTTCGCGTGGTGGTATTTCTAGAAAGCAAACGACGCACTCGAAGGGTTCTACGTTCTCCACCAAGTCAGCGTTGTCCAAGTTCACCAGCTGCAGATACGTTTGGTCTTTGCTTGCAGACGCCTCGCCACCGTTTGGTTGTGGAGCTTTCTTCTTCGGCGACCTCTTCGGAGGTTGAGCTTTGGCGAGGCGAACGGTAGCGCAAACCGCGCATATGTTGCTGGAAACCGGATTCAGTAACGTGCATAGGTGGCATTCCCATTCTTTCGCCGGTTTTAAGGTCTTGGAGTCGTAATCTTCCATGTCCTCCTCTTTCGCTTTGGGCGCTTCCTTGTTTTCAGCTTTTCGCTGCGGTCTCTGCACTGGTGCGACAGAATTTTTCGGTTCCGTTTTTTCTACCTTTGAAGCGTCTTGTTTAGTGACATTGTTACCCGATTTTGGCGGACTTCGTGCTTTTGGAAAAGCAAAATCGCCGCCCTTAAAGTCTCTGATTTGGAATTTTGGCGTAGGCTGGATTTGTTTTTCTTCTATTTTGATTTCGGTTACAGATATCGGTTTTTCGACCCGTTTCGATTTGGCTTCTGGTTTAGCTGACTTTTCCTCAACAGTAATAGGTATGATAATTTCAGTCTTTGGTCTACTTTCCGCTAATTTTGGTATGACGTTTATAATTTTTGGAGTGTGGTCTATCACTACAGGTGGTTGTTGTATGGTGACTGGAGTTTTTAATTGTTTTACAGGTGATGACGAACTGGCCGACTGAACTATCGTTTTTGCCACTGATTTAGAGGGTGTAGCTTGCAGTACAGGATTTGTAGGTTGACTAACAGCTTTTGCAGGCAGAACAGGTATTTGACTTATTGGTTTTGTGGATGGAGAACCCAATTTTTGCGACTGGATTTCAATTTTTTTCACCTCGTTTTTACTGTCGTTTGGTTTGTCACTTGTTAGTTTTGTAAACGGCGAACACAATTTTTGCTGTTGGATTTCAATTTTTTTCCCTTCGCTTTTGCTTTCTTTCAGCTTCTTTTGTAAGTTCTGAACATTCATTTTCATTTTTTCTATTTCTTCATCTGCGGTCGGCTTAGGTGGTTTATCTTCTTTCACTGATTCACTCAATGAAGGAACAGCGATCTGTGATGTCGATGGAGGATTCTTTTTTTCTTCGATTTTTGGTGATTTGGGTTTTTCAGTTTTACTTTTTGGATCTAGAAAATTAGAGAAAATTGAGAATTAGAAATAAAGGAGATTGAATTTGCTCTGCTTGTACGGGGGTCATAAAATTATCCCTGCGCTCATTTAAAAAAAGTTGTCTAGAACACAATAGAGTTTTTTTTAAAACACTTTTTATGGTATACTGTTTTTTACTGAATAAATTAAGCCATTTAGGAAATAGGTTCATTTAAACTTGACAAATCATCTCCACATTTTCAAAAATTATTTAAATGGCTGAAAAATAGAGGTCAATGCTCCTAATGAGGTGAAAATCCTATAAACAACCTCACGTATTTTGATAAAATTGGCAGACTGAAATAATAAACTGCTCAATAGAAAATAAACAAAAAGCCAGTTATTTTCGAGGAATAGTGCTAACTCGTAAAACAATTTTTTAAGTCGGTTTTGAGGAGCAAATCGTTAGTGCCTTTAATATATCACATCGGGTGCCCGACTTGACAGAGCTGTGTATGCTCGGCTATTAAAAAGCACCAATTTATAAATATAGGATTAATGAATTAGGTGGGTTGCGCAACAGAACGAGAATAGCCTGCGAAGAAATAACTAAAGAACAACAGGAATTTCGGAAATTGCCCGATATTTATTCACTTTTCGAGTTGTTGTGACATACAAGTTTTCACACTGCGGCTATATCTTATTTCTGGCATTTATGTATAAAAAACACTTCCTAGTTTCCATTTTTCTGGCTCCCATTCGGTAATTATTTCCGATGGAGTTGGAAAATTTTCAACGTACTTTCGAATGGTTTTATAATCGTTAGCAGGCTCGAATAAACACCTACACAAATTTGTCCACGTACAAGTAATCTGTTTTAGAAATAATGTCATTTTATACGTACTGTGATGTATACTAGATATCCACTAAAATGAAGAAGGATATTAAAAGTAAAGTAACACATGTTTCTTTAAAAATACAGGTATTTAGTGCAGACTACATTTTGCAATATTTTAATTTTATAAGCAGTATATCAACACTCGCATTAAAAAGTATGTGCATATTTTGTTCACAAAACTATATTCTTTACCTGGAGCTACCAAATAAAGGAAAACTGGACACCCTTCCGTCGTAACATTATATTCCTTCAGCGTCGAGTTTTCATTAGTTACCAATTCCTTGCCCAAAATCCATTTCTGGTAGTCAGCGGGTATCTCGAACTCCTTTTCGATCTGCGTCTTCAGGTCTGCCACGGTTTGATCAGCCGTCACCTCTATTGGAAAAGGTCCCCTGTGGGAGACCTTATCTTCCACGTACATCTCAATTCTAAAAACATAAGTAAATTATTAGGAATGATTGTATACAAAACAGATTACGGCAAACTGTCAGGCTATGAAAACAAAAAAAGAATAGTAGTAGTATGTTGAAATTTGAAATATGTCTAGATTCTGATCGATAACTTGACTCAACCTTCAATTTATTTTTTACACTTTGTACAGATGAGTTACATTCGACGTTAAATCTACTGATAATAGGGAAAACTGGTGAACATTCTTTACCTAGATTTTCAAGACAATCCAACAGTCATATCAGATTGTAGGATCACTTTATTAATTTTTGAATTATGTAATATTATGATTTGTGTTATTTGTATAATTGTGCTATGCTAGATAGATTAGAATTAAAATAAAAACGATCTGCAAAAATTTTTTGACGTTTGACCGGAACTCCTGTGATTAAAATCTACATATTTTAATTAGAATAATCTATTTGCAGGTAATTATTTCGTATTAAATTATGGAAACGTTTTAATTTAGAATAACCGAGATATAAGGGTGACCCATGAAAAGTAAAGCAAAGAGTATAGTATTTGTCAAGGACATTTAAATAAAGGGGACTTATTTATTTACATTTCTAGATGAAGCCTGGTCTATTCACAGTCTAATTGTATCATTGTTGTCAGCTGTATAATTATACTGGAAATGTACTTAATATTTTTATCGCAATTTTCATCACAATTGTGAAAATTATTATTATAGGATAGTATTATTAAGTTATGCATACAATATTGTTAAATTCTGTACATATTAAACTATTTTTNAACCCCATTTTTGTGATTTTTTCGATTTTTACCATAATAATCATGATTCATTCGATTTGTAACCAGTCATGTATTGTAAAAAATTTAATTACAAACATTTTTTCCTCTTCCATTTTCGCCTAAAATCAACTCCTGAAAAGATACATAATTAAATAGGAAGAAAAATATGACATTTTTCGAATTTTTTTAACATATTGTGCCGCCAAAAGTTAAGCCGAAATTTTTTTTTATGCGCATAGAAAAACTTTCATTTCTAGTGATATTTGAAAGCCAAAAAGCCAAAAATCTCCGTGGATATACGATTCACCCAAATATGACTTTTTGAAACAGATACCGTCTGGACTATAGGTTGAAATTTGAAATATGTCTAGTTCTGATCGATAACTTAACTCAGCCTTCAATTTATTTTTTACACTCTGTACAGATGAGTTACATTCGACATTAAATCTATTGATAATAGGAAAAACTGGTGAACATTCTTCAGCTAGGTTTTCAAGACAATCCAACAGTCGTATCGGATTGTAGAATCTCTATTCATTTTTGAGTTACAGAGTTATATTCTTTTACGTTTATGTTATGATTTATGTTATTTGTGTAATTGTGCATTGATACATAGATTAGAATTAAAATAAAAACGATCTACAAAAATTTTTTGATGTAGAATCGATTGGTCATATTAGTTTTATTTTAGTGGATCTCATACTAACGAGTAATGGAAGAAATTCATATTTTTTTAGTAGGAACTGGCTATGATCTAAAAAAACATTTTCAGTTTAATTAACCGATTTTTTTAATACATTTTTTTAACCCTATTACCTTTCTTATTTCTTTTTTCTTGGCTAATAATAATTGTCCTAGATATTTACCTAATTTTATTTTCTAAATTCTCTCTAATAATTTTTATAAACTTATTTCTTAACCAGAAAGAAGACGATTAATCAGTTGTTGTTTAAAATTGTAACTTGGTTTATTCGTTTACCACTTATCATTTGATGTAAATAATTTCAATAAATATGAAAAAATAAGGAACAGATAGATTTATATACTTACTAATGTTTCTCTATTGGCCAGATAAAAAAAATATTTCTGGAGAATTTGACAACTTAATATAAAACAAGAGATACAAGAAAAAGCTTATCAAACTTCGATAGTTTTTAAATCAACTAAATATTGCTTAGGCACTTTTAAAGATATTTTATTCAAATTTGGTACTCAGGAATTTCTAGGAAAGCTAAACTAGAATACCTATTTTCCACCTTTTTTTTAATTTTTGAAACCGAACTCCTGTGAATAAACTCTACATATTTTAATTAGAATAATCTATTTGCAGGTAATTATTTCGTATTAAATTATGGAAACGTTTTAATTTAAAATAACCGAGATATAAGGGTGACCCATGAAAAGTAAAGCAAAGAGTATAGTATTTGTAATCTGTGGTATTTGCCTGGGTTACTCTCTCTATCTAGAAAACACATATCAAATATGATATGACGGATAAATTTGTGTTGAAAATCGGGCTCAGGAGAGTGTCATCAATTTTTTTGTCCTATCTTTAATCAATTCTCAGGCACTTCCTAATCCCATCGAATTTGATTCACCCTGTACATACATCCCACTGATTGCGAATTTCAATTGATCGCGGATAATTCGTATGCGTGCCTGTAAAATTTGGGTTATTCAAATAAACACTCACGGTTTGCATTGGTTCATCGGTTTGAACAATCTGTACGTAACCTGAATATTTTGTTTCCCCAAGAGTAAATCACGAGTAATTTTGTTTATATTCTTTTTATACGATACACTCCCACGCCGATTATGCTATTTATTTGTTTTTGAAACGGCATAAAGCTACGCTATAAATAAATATACCGGGTTATCGCTGTTTGGACTATTTTTATATGAAAAATATTGTTAATTATGATTTATGTCAATGCAATGCAATGAATAAAGCAATACTATAAATAAATAGAGGTGTAGGGGCCTATCTCTTTTCACTGCTGTTTTGAAATCAAATTTTATTAGTTTAAATGTCAAATGTCTAACACTTTTAAATGTTAAAAGATTCAAAGGTAGCAGTTACTATTAATAAAGAAGTTTTTCAAAAATCAAAGCATTCAGGAAAGCAAATATTTAGAAAAAGTTTTACAAAATTGAAGAGTAGGTACTTTTTACTCCTCTTTTCAAAATAATTTAACAATTTGAATAAGAAATAATCTGAATCAAATTCATGAACCCAGCAGAAGATTCTGGATTAACTTCAGGTATTAATCATATTTATTAAAGACTGTATCAGGAAGTTTAGTTTTCAAATTAGGCCTGTTCAGCTATATGTCACTCATTGTTCACATTGAAAATATAAACACACCTGTTCCGACGGTATTAATAGGATAGCCAGTCATATTGTCATACATAGGAATAAATGAACAGCACGGCAGGAATAAAGCTCCACGTAAACCTTATTTTTGTATTCGATTTTATAGGAACCTTACTCATCAAATAAGAAAAGTCGACTTCCTCTGAGAGTTCGTTAACATTTTCTAATGTATGTGCATACATTTCGTTTTCAAAGACTGGTTAGGTGTCTATTAATAGGTATTATACGCCGGTATATGTATACAGTGTGCTGTGGGAAATTATTTAAAGCCAAACAGTTTTAAGCTTAAATTTTCGCGATTAGTCCTACATTTCCTGACCGATAGAAAAACATTCTTTCTATGGTTTATTTATCACGCTAAAATTTGGTAGGCAACTAAAGAGAAAGACTATATAGTACAATGCATCTATAAGTAGAATTTAATTCAATATTTGTACTGGAATCAATATGCCAACTTACTTAAATGACATAATAAATACCAATAATTCGGTTATTTATTCGAAAAAAGAAATTAATAACATTAGTCATCACTTTAATGATTTTATTTGAGTAAATGCTCAAAAATGCCTCCATATCGAAATGTTCGAAATTTATTGTTGCTTGAATCTGATGAAAAGCATTATTTATTGTTTCTTCTAACTGCTCAGGGGTATTAATTTATTCACTGTATACCAGACGTTTAACAGCACCCCACAAAAAGAAATCCAGTGGAAGGTCCGGTGTCTTCAGTTCGTTTTTTAAGTTTTACTCGAAAATCAGGCTTTTTTCGAAAAACAAGAGTATAGTAATTTGTAGAAAATTGAAAGAAAATATCCGAAAATATCATAATTGTTACCGTAAAGCAGTCGCGTACTATTTAATTTTTTTAATTTAGAAAAATATGCCACCGATATCTTCGCCATTGGAGAATGTAAATTTTAGGAAAATCCTTCAGATTTTGGAATACATGTGCCCAATTTCAAATTATTTCACTTACTAGTTTTTAAATTATTAAAAAAATATATATTTTTTGTAGTTTAACACCCTGTATGTTTTTAACAAAGCGGCCTAGATAAAAACTTTATAGAAAAAAAACCTTAAAATTCACTAAAAAATACGAGGTTTCATTTTTTGGTCACCATTTGTGAATCACCCTGTATAATCGGTAATTTTTTGGATACTTTTTTTAATAAAAGCACTATTTATCAAAAAATTCAATTCAAAAGTATACAGGTACTCAGTATATTATATACAAATATCTTCAGATAATTCAAAGGTAAACTTTCGGACAAAATGCCTCATTTCATGTTTATATATTTTTTCAGTTTGTTGCAACAATAGTTTCTCTTTGTCTTTAATCTCTGAGGTATTCAACATTGTATTCGTATAATGGGAATACATGAGTACAAATATTCTAGATTCGCGTACTCTTTGATTGTTGTAGGTACTCAAGAGTCAAGTAATTATGGATATTTATTCGAACAGAGAATTTATGGATGATCCATCAAAAATGGTAGTATTGTACATATCATACTTGATTTAAAAAAAAAACAGTTGCGCAGAGACACACACTTTAACAACAAATCATGAGAGACCAGCTTAAAACATATGCTAATTATACCAATTGTATATTATGAATAAGTAACTTTCTATTTATATATATTTATTTAACAGAATGAAAGTCAAGGATATCTTTTTATGCTCTGAAAGTAACTGAAATCTAAATGTAACGATAAATGCTGTTGTACAAGTCCGCTTACTTAAAAAAGTGGCGTGATCGTTCGTATAATTATGAATATTTATTATCTAACAACAAAATTAAGAGAGAAGAGAGTTTTCTTTCATAAATAACTACCACATTTTATTATAAATAAGATTTCAAATGCAAAATGATTATCAAAAGTAAAAAAACTCGTTGGCAGTGGCGGCTGGTGCGGGGGAGCTCTAAAGCGCTGTCCCCCCCCTGAAAATTGTAGTAGTAAAAAGAAATAATTATTAGCCTTATGAAAAACATTAAAAAGGAAATGTTAAATTTATAATGTGAAGTCAATTTAAATCGACTTGCAAAATTCGTTTGTAAAACTCTGAAAACGTTGTCTCTTCGTAGCTCACCTCTACATCTGTAAAGTGTTTACAGTGGTGGTCATGGTTACCGTCGCGCAGCAGTGAAAGATGGAGAGGGAGTAGCGTATATTTATTATGAAGTCTGGGCTCTGTTTATTAAGACCGTAACCGAATAATAGCTATTCACCGTTTTTTTCTTAATAAACGTAATTTATTCAGGTGTGGTGTAAATTTTTATTACTTACATATTGTTTCTCGAGTGTTTTTTTTTTAAATTGATTGTAGCACTTGTAATGCGAGAAATACCAAATAAAAAAAGTAATTGAAAAGTTTATTTCGGACAAAAGCAGCGCAGAAGAATGGACTTTCACTATAAAAAATAATGTTGAGTACATTTTCTTCATATTTCAATAGTACCTACTACCCAATTATATTTGATTTTTTTTTCAATACTTTGTACTTAAATTTTTCCGCCCTCCTTGATATGGAAGTCAATAACACTGCCCGTCGGTATAAAAATGTTGATTATTTTAGGAACTACACCTTTTAGATAATTGAAAATTTGTACGTTATTTTTTTTCTTTTAACGGTGATCGTGTTTGAAATGCATTTGAGTATAGTTTTATAGTTACTACAGTGGAGCCGAAATTCTGGGGTTCTTTGTAGCAGCCCAGGATCTACGCCATTATTTGACATAATTGCAACTGATTCAGATAATTTTTATATTTCCTTGGTTAAATCATCAATTCAAATTTCATCACCAAACATCTGAACATAATATTTGTATAATAGTTATACTTTCAAAAAGTGTAACACCCTGTATCTCAAAAACTAAGCCGTTTAGGACATAGTTTCTACAAACTTTTTGTCGTAAAATATTCCCCTTTACTAAAATTTTATTACGTGATTAAGTTACACCTCGTATGTAAAAGACAAATGTAGACTTCAATTTCGCGAGTATATTTCGTTTCGAACGTGAAAGATATAAATAAATACAGTTATGCATATGTTTCAGAGTCGTACGCGTTGACGTTTACATCTGAGAGCCTCGATTGAAAAATAAATATAGAACACTTACTGGAAACCTTTCCTTTTATCATCGGACTTTGCTGTCTGCGGTTTCTGCCTGATAACGGAACAATTCACCTTCAGCTGGGCCAATTCTTTGGCAAAACTCGCTGCTTCCGTCAACTCTCCCTTAGCGATCGAAGTTTCGAGTCTCCTCAACAGCCTGTTGATTTCGATAGTATCAGTTTTACTAACGCCTTGGGCCTGTCCGATGTTGTTCTTGATATTATTGAAGTTCTTGGGCATGTTGAAGAACAGAGATAACTCGTCGTTTCTTGCTAGATTCGCATAGATCCTGACGGCGGATTTTCCGTTGTTGTCCGCGTAAATATCTTCGAAGTCTTTGGGTCTCATCAGTTCATAGTTGTTTTTCTTCGATTCTTCTTTCACCAAATTTGATATAGTTAAGGGTGGAACGATTTGCTTGGTCGCTCCACTAGTTTGAGCTTCCGCCGAGACTTTTATAGGCTTTGGATTGTCGGTTTTTCTCACTTTAATGTTTTCGTATATCGTCTGTGTTGTACCGATCAGTATCTCGGCCACCTTTTCTTCCTGAGTTTTTTCTGGAATATCAGAATTTTTCTCTGGAAGAACGTCAGTGTTTGAAGGTATGTCTTTCAGTTCTTTGGGATGTATTTGTTCCGGATTTGCATTTATTTCCACTTCTGTGCTCTCAGGATTTTCCACAATTACGCTGGTTCTACTGTTCTGCTTCATCATGATGTTTGATTTTCGTTTCGGTAAGGAATTCTTCATTTCGATCAACATTTTCTTGAGCTTTTCTCTTTCGATTTTTTTAATGTCGGTGTCTACCTGCGACTTTTCCTCTACTGAGACTTTTTCTAATTTATTCTTATTGTTGGCGTTGTAGGAAGCCAAAGCTGAGAAACCAATTTGTGTTTTGGATCTTTCCATGTTCATCTCTGGTTTCTTGGGAGGGGTCTTTTCTCGTTTAATGGCGAGAGGACTGGACATTTTAATTTCAATTTTATTCTCAGTTTTACCAGAAGAAAAGTCGTCGAAATATGGTTTGATGGCAGAGCACACGTGGCAGATGATTCTCCAGTATTCATTTTCCAAATTGCACTTGGGACACTTCCAACTCTTTCTCTCCAGTTTTGGTGTCTCGGGTTTCGCTTTGATAGCGTTAGCGCTCTCGGATTTCATAAGTGGGGAATTTTTCTTGTCGATCTCCTCCAGCCTTTTCTTGTGTGACTCCAGAAGGGATTCCTGTCGACGCCTAGTCTCATCCAAACTCGCTTGCTTCCCGAAAAGCTTTGATTCCTTCTGGGAAGCCCCAAAAAACGCCGAGTTCACAGTCACTTTAGTAACGTTTGTGATAGCATTGAATTTAGCTATCAGGTCTCTGGCCGACCGTCGCTTCGGCGAGACCCAACTGTCCGTATTTATTTTCGTATCTTTGGGACGCATAAACTCCGGCATTTCCTGAATGTCACCGAACCCGTTCTTTTCCAGTTCTTTATTTTTTATTATCTCGGACGCCTCTCTGTCTAATTCGCTGATGTTGGTGAGGAAAGACATGCCGGATTTCCTTTTCTCCTCTTTCTTTTTTTCCGGCTTGGCTTCGTCTAGGGTTAAGTCCAATACGGAGTTCCTCATGAAGGGCACGTCTGGCAGGCGTTCGATCTGCTCGTACTTGTGCTCCTTTTTGGTGCTAGCGATGCTTTCTCGACTGGTATTCCTTTTGTACCAAGGTCTGGGGGACACGGGAGCTTCTACACAGCTTGACCTTGCCGATGTAGTTGGGGAATTTGTAACGTTCGAGCTATTTCCGTCCGGAGAGAGTTTCAAATTATCCATGTCTTTAGCGGGTTTGAGAATGCCGTGATCTAATTTTAAGGAATCGTTGCATATTATTTCTTCATTCGCATGTATCGCTTCAATTTTATTGATTTTCTGTAGGGTGTTTACTACTTTCTCTGGAGTTACTGGTGGTGGTGTGGGGGCGACACGTTTCTTTCTCCGCAAACTCGTCGTGGAAAGACCGTCTTTAAGCCCAGGGGGTTGCGGGGCTTTCCTTTTACCCTTAACGTGTAAGTAAGCCCCGGATTTTTTAATTTTAGAAGACTCACTATTAGTTCTGCGATGGACCTTAAGGTCCTCTTCGATCTCCATCGTCGTACGGGTCATGAGGGGCAAGCTCTTAGTATTTTCTTCGTCGGGTTCAGGCTGTTTGGGTTTCAAGAAGGTGTCTCGATTGAAGAACAAGTTGTACTTCTTCCTGAGCGTCAGATTCTTGTCATTCTCTCTGCGCTTGTCTCTTTGTTTGAGCCTGGCCTTGTAGGTGTCGGTTTCCGGTCCCAAGGCGATGCACTTTTCAGACACGCATTTCTCGTAGGCACTAGGATGCACGAAAGAAAAAGACGCCACTGTCCCCGCACTATGCACGGAATTCAGGCTGCTGCTGCTGCTCGACTCGGATACCTGCACATCCGCGTCTATGGACTCACGGGATGTGGAGGGCTTGAACCATTTCAAGAAGGAAAATAGACCACTGTTGCGTTTGGAAGATTTTGGATCGTAGCCAAGACTTTGTCCGGTGCTATCGGGGGGTGGCTGTTGATTCAGGCTCATATTATCGGGTGATCATGTCTTGGGGGTCATGGGGAAAACCACTTCGCACTGGAGGAACAAAAATCAGCGATTACACATATTCTGTTTCGTCTGGGAGCACGTGTCGGGGGTTGTACGGTTACACAGCGTGTCTGCGGCAGCCTCTAGGGTTAGCGTTGGTCTAGCAAAGCGTTTCAAACAAACTTATTGCCCACTCGACTTACCGTAGTGTCCATTAATTGGGAAGGAAATGTGTTTTGCAGCGAGGTTGTAATAATGAACTAGAGTGTATTTTGAGAGATTTCTGTGACGCGAGAGCTGAACGGCCAGCGCTACGCGGCGTCCCGATGCTTGGGTTAAATTTAGTAGGTTGATGGTTCGGCTGCGTCCGGTTGTCAAATTGTTCTCTAATTTTCTGTTTACAAAATACGTTTAAATGTACGTCTGCTACTCGATTGCTGCTGGGATCGTGCGCGGGAAATGATTTTCTGGCTTTGATTTTTATTTTTTTTTTGGTTGCAGTCGGTGCCCAGGCGAGGTTACTGCCTATAGTTCCTATTAAATCGTTACGTAAGTTAATTGCTTTTCACTTGACTTTTAATCACTCCAACTTGTTCATTCCGTTCGGATAAATATTTATAAACCACAAGGAAGTTCGGAAATCCAAAAGAGACCACTCGGGGTTTTATTCGATTTCGTTAAAGTCGGCTATCTATTTATTTTCACAGGCGTTGATAAACATCTTGTTAATCCTAACGAATTCTGAATAAAGTTCCTGTATTGGCTAATCAAATACCTATGTAAAAAAATAATTCATAATCATGTAAAAATTAAAGTTTTAAATTAAATATAGGTACGAATATACCTGACATCATAAATTAAAATTTATTTTTTATTGATATTGTAAAATAAATATGTAATAGCTATTAATAATATTCATTTTTACTAAAAAAAATAGTCCCTAAGTTTATTAACAGTACAACAAATGTATACATAATACTCGCCTTCTCAACCTGTATGAGAAGAATTTGGTCTGCATATATTGGGTGTCCCAAAAAATTTTAAAAAGTCTTAGATTTGACCTTTACATCTTAAGTTTCAAGGGCAAACCAAAGTCAACTTAAAAATATTAAATGGAACGTCCTATTTTTTTATACCAACAATCGATAGAGCGCCAAATTTTACGTCCAAGGATGGGGTCAGAAACTTTTTTTTGATAAGATTCAAACTTGAAAAGTTGTCAGGGGGGGTTCGGGTATTCTTGAGATACCCGGTAGATGCAAATTGTGGAATTAAGAAATATTTAATTTTAACAAATATACTTAAATAATAGTTAAATACTACTGTTGGATTAAATTGTTTCTCTTTTATTTTTATTATAATGTCTAGGCTTAAGTCATAAAATAATGCTAGACTACAAACTCCTATACTATTGTTAGATAACGCTAGGTATGTTCGTCACTGTCATCGACTGCCAAAAATTACTATATTTATTTAACATTTAAAAAATACGAATTTTACATATGTGACTATGAATACCGTTGTTATCGCCGTTGTTCTTTAATAAAATGATGAATATTATAAAATGTTGAAAAGTTCATATAGTACTTATATATATGTATTTCCAAAAATATTTTTTTCAAACTATCTGAATAAGGCAATGTTTTCTTTTTCTCAAACTTGCAACAAATAAACTGTCCATTAGAAGGCGTGCTTTAGTGTAAATTAATGTTTGATTGCGTCACCAGCAGCTCCTGTTAAGACAACAATATTCAAATATTTAAAATAGTACCCTTGTCACAGACCTTTTTAATTTTTGTGTATTTTCGGTAATCATCATTTATTAATTTTATTTCATTTGAAAATTAGTTCAGGAGAAATATAAACCAACCTTTTTTCATAAAATAATTTGAGGAATCACCATCCAAATATATTGCACTACTTAGAAAACACCCTGTATAAAAAGACAATAGTACTAGTTTTAATAATATCTAGGTATACGTTATCTGATTATATAATTATGATATAATTTTTTGTTTAAGGCCCAAACATAATTTTGTTTTAGTTTCAAATTTAACTCTCTGAATTTATAAACATTTTAAATTGTTGGGGCGTGAAAAAGATACCTACACTATTTTCCATTAGGCACGTCAGCGTTAAACCGTTGCATCGGTAACTTCGAAGCAAATCTTTTTATACCGCTATTTTAACCTTCCTATTTTTAAAGTTAGTTATCTACCAGTCGCACTCGTATAATAACATTGTTTAATTAAATTAATGGGGTCATTGCTTCACTGGCCATTTAAAACAATGTGGCCTTGCTGAACGCATATAAATAAACGACTTTGCTTACCTACTGAAGAAGAGTTTTAGAAAGTTTAATGTCAGCAGGCCATTTGTTAAAAAGAAGCTATGAAATGAAAATTGTATGATAAACTGAAATACCTTTTTTGTACATATATTATAACTACTTTATGTTATAAAGGTTAAACAATTCCTACTTATTAAGTGTTAATATATTTATATACTATGAATTAACCAACTTTATCTTATTGTCATATACCTCATCTACTCGTATAACTATAATAGCTAAGGATAAAATAAAGTTTTAAATAGGTATAAACTTTTTTTACTCAGGTTGTTGTGAGAGCCCTCTGCAAGAGCGAGGCCCAGGGCTATTGTCCTGTTCGCCACCCCCTAAGGCCGCCTCTGACTACTAATGCTAATTAAAATTACCGATAAGGTATCTTCATGAAAAGGGAAACTGTGAATACAACTTTTTTAAGTATGTAATTCTTAATGAAGGTCAACACCCAATTTACAAATTACTGACCATGAGCAACCGCAACTTGTTATATCCGCACTTATTTTTTATTCATTCTTATCTAAGAACATTGGTATATTATTGCTATTATATTCTTATTAGTTATATAATCGTTACCAAGGCAGATACGCTTTCCTAAATTTCGATGAAATGCGTTAATCTATATGCAATATTTTACAAACTTAAAATTGGATGCAATGCAGACCCTATAAAGTCACTTTATAAATATAAAGAGAACTGTTAAATTTATGTTTCTATAAACAAGGGACAATAATTATTAGCCATAAATTCAATGACACAGTTCAATAGTAGGCGTCAACAGATTAGCCAACATGGCAAAAATTAAGAAATATTATATGTTTATAAGAACTTCTATAAGTTGATTGAACTCTCTTGTATTATATAAAAATTGCTTATATTATGTTTATTCTTTGATTACGTATCGATATTTTCTATCGGATATAAAGTAATTTAGAGAAATAAATGTTGTTTGAAACTATTTTAAGCCTGTCAGCTTGGCTGCACTGCCACTCATATATTTGTGTACGGTAACCGAGGTAAACGTCAAACTTTGTTTCTTTGTGGTTTATAAATCGAAATTAAGTTGATTAACCCTTTCAAATTTTACTACAAATTGATTTAATCAGTAATTTTGTGTTTCAGTGATAAAATAATGTGCGATATGTCGTATTCTGAACACTAGCTAAAGTGGAAAAAGGGTTTGAATTTTTTTGTTGTAGTGAATAGTGGACTCGTCCGTTTTAATTCTGTCCGTAACCCACAAAGTTTGTGTACAATATAAACAACTACATAGACTACGGCACGTAGTAATTTTCTTTTAATTTCTAACTACATTGTAATGTGCCCAACTTATTTATTGACCAAGAGATCTGTTAGGCGTACATTGGTGCCCTCGGCTAGCCTTCTACATTCAAAAAGAAAAGGAATATTTATACACCCGACAGCTATGTTCAAGAACTTTTTCAGAGTTAGTTTTCTTCCGTTACTAAATCTTTGTTAAATCGTACCGTGAAGTCTTAAAGAATTGTGATATTTTTTCTTGTTCGACTTACCCATATCAAAATGAAGCTTTTGGAAAGCACAAGATTTGAAGCAATCAACAACGCCCTGTCCATACAAACAGGTGATAGCAAAATAATCGGTCGTATTGAAAGCTACTCCTGTAAAATGGCTGGCGGTGATAAGGCCCTCTACAAGAGATTCAATTCTGAAGGGATACATCCGAGCGACTTACAGGCCCTTTCTCCGCCGCAAGGCGTCTCGCCGGGCTGTTTGCAATATAGTAGAAGCATTTCAGGGGATGAAGAGGGTCCGTTATGTGACACCATTTCCCGTAAAACATTGTTTTACCTGATCGCTACTCTCAATTCGTCTTTTCCAGACTATGATTTCATGGATGTCAAAGTAAGTAAGACATCCATTAGCTTTATTATAATCATTATGAACGATATTAATATACAACCCATTGTAGAATTAATCAAATGTGAAATAATTATTTAATTTTCATGTTCATTTAAAAATAATAATGTTATTAAGAAAAGAATAATGTTTCAAATGCAACTAGATAAAGGATAATTAAAAAGTATATAATTACAAAGTATGAATTATTGTAATTATACAATTTAATAACATATTAGGTGGGTATATTCATCTTTATTTGTATGTTCTAGCTTTCCGTTAATTGCTTATAATAGATTTATCCTTATTAAGTAGGCACTGGAAATATTTTATATTTTCACTTATATACTTTCAAAATAATTGTAGTAATAAAGATTTAGATAAGAAGATAAACTGTTATTACATATTATCCATAACAGTAAGGTAGGTTACAACAGACTAAAAAAAATAACCATGACGTAGCTCTTATCTTTTTTTATAGAGATTATCTTTTGTGCGGCAGACAGCCGTTGTTTTGTTGAAATGTTTACGTATTAAAAAAATACTATTGAATATAAAAATAACTTTTATCATCTATATATTTATAATTACTGCTTTAGGGATATAATAACTGACAGGTCTGGCAGGGTCATCAATAAAACTGGTTATTTAACTCAATTTCAGTAAATTATGCCATCCTGCCAAATTAATACAGTTGTATGGCATTGAATGAATTTAAATAATGAATAATTCATGTTTTAACTTTAAGCAATATGAGTTTAAAAGAAAATGACACGCAGCTTCTTAAATAGGAAGTGGAATAAAATTATTATTAGAGCTGGTCCTTTAAGTATTAGAAAAACAGATTAAAATAAGGACCATACAACTTGTCAAAGATGGAGCAACAAAAACCAGTAGCATAGATATGAAGTAACATTTTCTTCAAAAATTAAATTAATAATACAAAGAAAATTTTTTTGTCATTGCAATGCAAAATTTATCAAGAATGAAAATGATCTCTTACTTTGTTTAATTTTGATACAAATACAATTTTAATGATTTTTTAAAATATGTAAAATAATCTCTTATTCTTAAAAGATTCCTGTGTTTTGATGAATCTGCTGATAAATTTTTTTAAATTTTATCTCAAAAACAAGAGCAAACGTTTATGTGATCATTTCTTTTTCAAGACCTTGTAGCGTTAGTTAGTTTAGAGATATCTTTAATTTCCTTTTCAGAGTCACGAATTCAGTAAAGAGCCCTCCCGTCAATGGGTTACCAACGCCATTGATTCGAACTTAGCTGCGACAGCCGGTGACCATTACCGTCTGTTAGGTCCATCCCTTTGGGCGGCGATTGACGACGAAATCTCTTTGGAAAATTGTGATATTTATTCGTACAATCCTGATCTCGCCTCCGACCCATTCGGTGAGGATGGTTGTCTTTGGAGCTTTAATTACTTTTTTTACAATAAGAAGCTCAAGAGGATTGTGTTCTTCACTTGCAGAGCTATTAAGTGAGTAGAAAATTATATTTATTTCACTCGGATTAATAGCAGTGCGATAAAACAATAAAAAATTGAGCGCCGTGGAATTTTTTTTCCATCTTATCTAATCTGTTTTAAGTGTAAACGATTTCAACTGAAATTGTTTACACTACCATAAAAGGAGCTTTAAAATTAGTTAATATTGTTTACGGCTTTTATTTTTCAGTCCAAGGTATACCTTGGATTCTGGATTCGGTAGCGACTTCATCATGGACGAGGATGATATCTACGATTAAACTTGTTGCCGAAGACGGCACGTTTTTTCCGAACACATTTCTTAAGGGCAGATATTTGTTTGAGAAAATCTTTTGGTGAGAGCAAAAGTACAAATTATTTTAAAGATTGTTTTATTAAATGGCGTAGCGTTAAGTATTATAGAATGTAAGGTATATTCAGTTCATAAACATATTGTTCTCGTGTTACAGATTAAATCTGCTGTTTCTCGCCGAGTAGTGTTTTTACTTTGTAGTTATCACTTTGGTTCTGGAACGGGTAAGAATTTGTTTTTAGAATCTGTGTCACTAGACGGAGATAAGTTTCACCAAGCTTGGCTGTTTTAATCAAAATTTTTTACTTATTAGATAAGTCTAATTTATTTTCAAGGGTCATTGGCCAAAGTTATAAATGAAATTCATCATTATGTCAAGTTAAAAATTGTATGTAATTATTGCAATACATATTTTGTATAATATCAATATTGCGTTCCCGTGATAGTTTAAATCATTACGATTAATTGTTTTCGGGACATTCTCAAGTTCATATCATAATTTCGGAAGGTTGTTTTTGGGTCATTTCAGGCCAAGGGGTTTAAAGTCACTGGTTTTCGAGATACAGTGTTGAAGTTTAAACAAAATCACATTGCGTCAAACATCTTTGAAGATGCTTAATGCAGATAGGTGAAACCTGAGCTAATAATATAATTAAAGGCAAGAGTTCATTGAAATGATTACAAATATCGGCTGGTGACGAGCCACAGAATTTCGATGCCACAGAATATTTTTAAAGTTCTATAAATGCAATTTAACACAGTCAACTTAAAATGCCTCTAAAACTATTAATTTCACAAAAAATGTATAAGAATTTTTTTGTTCAAAATACAATTTTAGTAGCCATTAAAAATCTGAAACGGTCATTGAGTAGAAATTTTAAATTATCTGAGTAAAAGTTAAAAATTTAGGGAAACTACTCTGCGAGCTAATGCCCCGACCAGAATTAAATTATATCCTCAGAGTAGTAGTTTCCCGTAATATCATTAGCTTAAAAATTGTTTTGCCTAGTGGCAATACAGGTCTTGTTTTCATAGTATCTGGAAATAGTAGGTTGCTCTCTGCCAATTTGGCCGAGACATTGAGTAATTGTGACCAAAGTCGCGCACTAATTTTTCGAAAGTTGCGCAGCCGTTTTTGTATTCTGCGCAGAATGGGCTTGTCCACCATTTTTTTAAATTAAATTTCATTTTATAAATGAATTGCACCTAAAAATGACAAAAATCCAAATTTAAAAAAAAATGAACGATAAGTAAATCCTTCTTTGTATCATTAAAATGGTTTAAAATTTAAAAAATGTGACTTGCACACTTTTACGTACGTTTTGAACATTTTTGCTCCCATATACTTTTTAGGCTAACCATTAGAGATGTTTTGGCCCACTTAAATATTACAGCAAATTTCATGAATTACCTTTTGAAAAATACTTAGTAAATGAAAACATAAGTGATTTCCCCAGCAGTCGTGAACAATTTTTTTTAAATAAAAACTGCAAAAATCTAAATTTTTTGTTTTTTTTTTTATAATATCTCGTAAAATAATGATGGAATCGTCTTACTCTCAATAGGACTTTTGTAGAGAATAAAAAAACTTATAAAATGGTTTTTTGTGCAATCCAATTGGTTCATTTTTTATAGAGAAAATCCGGAAAAACCTCTAAAATNATAATGATGGAATCGTCTTACTCTCAATAGGACTTTTGTAGAGAATAAAAAAACTTACAAAATGGTTTTTTGTGCAATCCGATCGGTTCATTTTTTACAGAGAAAATCCGGAAAAACCTCTAAAATAGCTTTTGTCAAAAATTCATAACCGTCAAATTTGAAGCTGGAAAAACAATCTTCAGGAAAATGACAAATGCCGTTGAAAGTCCCCTAAAATGATCGAAAGTACGCTCAAACCAGAATCCTCCGCTCACTGCTTTCCCCACTACCGCGTGGAGTGTACTTTCGATCGTTTCGGGCAACTTTCAAGAACATTTTTAGCATATTTTCCATCACCCAGCGAAAATCCGAGATATACAAATTAGAGATTTTGTCATCAGAGCTTATTTTAGAAAAACGTTAACTTGAAAATGGATGTCTTTACCAAGAAAAAAATTATTAGAAATTATATTCCAATTTACAAAAATACTCAGCAAAAAAATCTTAGGTTCTTACTTTTTTGCTAGTGATTGACAAACTTGCATAAATTTAGTTCTTTTTTTAAAAAACTATGGTTTTTGGCCGGTAATTCTTTAAGGCTTTTTGGACTAAAATGACCCAACGAACAATCGCCCAAAAATGACACATTGTTTTAGAAAATGCCCTGTATATCTTAATCTTCCTAGTATTCATTGAATATCAGGAATCGAGAGACTGCCGTGACATCTAGAAACAGATTTTTCCCGATTCTTACCAGTATCGTTCATTTGTGACCTTTTTTTTTCGTACTAGTAATACGTTTTAGTTTACCCCGAGTATTAAATGTATTTTAATTTGTAGATTTTACGTTATTAAGACTTACTAACTGGTGTAATTGCACGAATCACGTCTTTTAATTTTCACCAAAACGATGCAATGTTATCGCACGGTGTGTAGTTTTTAAAGCAAGATGATACAAATGTTTATATATTTAACATAAAGTTGTTTGTAGGCTTATGATCTGATAGGTTAATATAAGATATTAGAAAATTACTTTTTTTTATCCGTCTTTTCCCTCTCGATCGTCCCCCGTCCATATGTTAATAAGGGTTCATAAATGAAACGAAATTATAACGTAATATTTTCCTTATATATATTCATCATTATATATTTACATTTTTTTAACTATATATTAAAAGCCACGCCTTTGTGAAGATAAGTAAAAAATAAAATAAATACTGTAAAAATGAATATTTATCACGTCAATCGGGGCATAATCCGTGATTCTAAACATTCCATTTTATTTCATTTGGATGTACTCTGAACGTGCAAAAAAAAGGGCTTCCTATATGCACACAAAACATTGTTCTAATTTAACATTTAAAAGATCAAATCAAATTTTGTAAAGATATTTTAACCCTTTCAAACTGTCATATTTGCAGACTTTAAATATTTAAAAAAATATTCCGATCAGGAAACGTGCAGTACTCTCAGTTTCGAAAGAGTTAAATAAAAAATTATCACATTTACTAGGATTGAATTAATTTTGAGAGATTTACGATAGATGGCGTAACTTACGCTATATCGCATCGGAAACTTCTGTAATCACGTCAAAGCTCTGTCATTAGGCTTTACATTTTATTATGCGTCATTTTGCTGAAGTGTAAACGGCATATTATTTTTCAGCTCCGAAGATGTTGAATTAAAAGCCAACAAAACACCACTTGCGGGAATTTTTATTTTTCCTGTTTAATTCAAAGAAAAGTGCTGTTGAAAGCCATCAAGTGTCATTGGAAACTTACGGTGAACATATTCCATTGATAAAAACGTGTATTTCTTTCGACGTTTTACAAGTGGTAATTTCGATACAGTTGACAAAGAACGGAGAACGGTCAATGGAGAAAGTTTGAAGGTGAGGAACTGGAAGCATTACTGGACTAAGGTTCATGACAAACGCAAAATGAAATTGCTGAATCGTTGAATGTTGATTGCACAAATTTCATTGTTTAAATGCACTCTGTATGATTCAAAAACAAAAAAATTGGGGATTGAAACCGAGAGATGTTGAAAGGCGATTTTTCATGTGACCAATTGCTTCAACGGCAAAAAATAAATAGTTTTTTTGCGTCGTATCGACACTGGCAATATGATGGCGGCCGTGTATCTGGTGGGACCTGCTATGAGGGACCTGGTGAACGCTACTGAACACAAGTGATGTGTTTGAGCCGTGCATTGAAGGAAATATACCACAAAGTAATTGTCCAACAATCCGCAATATTCACCAGATATTGCTCCATCAGATTACTACTTGTTCCGATCCATGAAACACGACTTGGCTAAGCAGCACTTCCAGTCTTACGGAGATACAAAAAATTGGATCGATTTGGGAATAGTATCAAAAGAAGATTATGCTGCCAGAAAGATGGGAAACAGTAGTGGCTTGCGAAGGGCGATACTTTGAAAAATAATAATGTTCACAATTTTTCACGGTAATGCCTTGAATTTACAAAAAAAATCCCTCAAAATTAATTTACAATCCTAGTAGCTATAACAACAGTTTTACCTCTTTGACGTTTAAAATAATAATTGTACTTTTTACGGTAGGAGTTTGAGCTATTGAAAAAAAAAAATCACTAATTTCACAGGATACATCTTTTTTGTATATTTTAACATAAAATAGTCAGTAATGTGACTTACATCTACTGATATTTACTTTTTTTACAAAAAAAATATTAAGAAAAACTGCCAAGACGTATCGTGGCAAAATAAAAAAACTACATTTTAATGTTAATGTTAAAAAAAAACATGAAGTGCTTCTGGCAAATTTAAGAAGTTGGAGCTAATAAGGGGTATTTCAAGTGGCAAATAGAGGATGTTCAGGATGAAGTCCCACGGTTTGCGAAAATAACCTCACGAGTTCATATTAATTTTTTTTACTCTGGAAGGTAAATTGAGAGATGAAAATAGATTTTTCATTACAACTTTTTGTTTGTCATTGAATTAAGATAATATTTGGGTAAATGCTATATTATTTGAAACTACTCCCATTAATATATTCAATTTTGGGTGCCCAGGAGCAGAGCAGCCTCAGCAGTCTTGCGCCCCTAAAAAAAATATGGCCCTGTTAAATTTTTTGTCACCGATTTTAAGATTTTTGTACGTTTTCCAGAGAAAAAAGTGTACTTATTTGATATTAATACACCAAACCGTTTTCAAACACTTTTAATGTTGATATACTATTCTTTTTTCGACATGTCATATATGGTACCCTATATCGTTAAGTTTGTATCTCAAACACAGTTCATTATATTGATAACAAACAACTATGCCTTTTTGGTCTTAACTGCGAAAAAAATTGAAAAAATAGGCTAATTTTTTTAGGGCGAAGACTGCTGAAGGCGCTTTGTCCGCAACTCCCGAAAGTAGTTATTGGTAAATTGGAAGACATTATACAGGGTGATTAATTAACAATGGGAAAATCGAAAGCTGAAGATACTACACGTGAAATGGTGCCTTTGGCGCAAACATACCTGATCCGAAAGTTGAAGGTTTCGGAAATACAGGGTGTTGAAAGTTAAAATTTTAAATCGTTTTTTTGGGATTATTCTGAAAATATGTAGGTTAGGAATTTGAAAATTTGTGAAACTATATTTTTTTTAAGCGACGAATAAGATGCTTGTTGCAATTTCAACGTTGCTCATAGAGGGCGCCACTTACAACCAATTTTACCGAAAATTTAGTTAATAATTTTTTACCCTGTATGTCTAATATGAAACTTGATTCAAAACCTGAAAAAGCAATAATTTTTCCATTAATTATGTATTCTTGTTTCATTTTGATATCTCGAACCGTTTTCGAAAAAAATCAATTTAACGCACACTATGTTTTGATAATACGAGAAATTAAAAGGGAAACAAACCAAGTGTTTCTTCATGTTATTACAACAATTAACAATAAAACAAATGAAATATGTAATAATGATTTAAAGTAATTGTTCGAAGAATCCACCGTTGACACTGATACACTTTACACGACGTTTTCTGAGAGATCTTCAAGTTTGAAGCAACATATGTATTGGGATTGCGTTTAACTTCTTTGGCAGCTATTTGTATTTTTTGCCACAACTCTTCACGCGAAGCCATATAAAAATCAGGAGGATTGAAGTCCAGACTTCTGGGTGGGCAAGCAAAAATGCTTCCACGGTTTGAAGAAGTTCAACTTTATTTAAGAGAAAAGACATATGGTTCATGCACGACGGAGCTCCACCGCAATTTTCTCAACCAGTGCGTGCATATTTAGATGCAGTTTTTCCAAATCGCTGGATTGGCCATGTACGCATTTTTGCTTAGCCGCCCAGAAGTTCGGACTGCAATCCTCTTGATTTTTCTAATTTGGTCTCGAATGAAAGATATAGTTTACAAAGAATCTATTGCTTCGCGTGAAGAGTTGTGTCAAAGAATACAAATCGCTGCCAATAAAGTCAGATGCAATCCCAATATGTTGTTTCAAATTCGAAGATCTCTCAGAAAACGTCGTGTAAAGTGTCAACGGTGGATTCTTCGAACAATTACTTTAAATCATTATTATTACGAATTTCATTTGTTTCATTGTTAATTGTTGTGATAACATAAAGAAACACTTGGTTTGTTTCGCTTTTAATATCTCGTATTATCAAAACATAGTGTTCGTTAAATCGATTTTTCTTGAAAACGGAATCGCGATACCGAAATGATACAAAAATACACAATTAATGGAAAAATTATTGCTCTTTCAGGTTTCAGGAGTAAAAAGTTAATAACTAAATTTTCGGTAAAATTGGTCATAAGTGGCGCCCTCTATGAGCAAAGCTGAAATTGCAACACACATCTTATTCGTCGCTTAAAAAAATATAGTTTCACAAATTTTTAAGTTCCTAACCTACATATTTTCAGAATAATCCCAAAAAAAACGATTTAAAATTTTAACTTTCAACACCCTGTATTTCTGAAACCATCAACTTTCGGATAAATAATGTTTGCGCCAATGGTCATCATTACACGTGTAGTATAAATAACTTCGAATAACACAGCTTTTACCCAAAAATTATGAAAATTTAATGAGAAACAAAAAGTTACCATGAAAAATTGGTTTTCAACTCTCAACTTTGAAAGCTCATAACTCTACAGTGTGAGCCCGAATAAAATATATACATAAACTTGTGCAGTTATTTTTGCCCAAAAAAATGTTAAGAGAAACTTTGCCAAGAGGTAACCGGCAAAATCAAAGTATTACAAAAATATGGGGCCAGTAAAAGACATTGACATAAAACATACATAATGCTTTTATCGGAAATCGTGTAGAAAATATAATTCAATACTTTTGCCGAACTGCAAAGCGTACTTGTAAAAAAATGTGAGCACTTATCTGACTGCTTTTTAAGTGTTTTGAATAAATTATACAGTAAATTTTAAAAATGATGTAGAACCCTACATTTTTATTTTTTATTCGTAAATACTAGATGATTATTACTTTTTCATCTTTTAATCTAAACATCACGAACATGGTCAAACCTATGACAAAACTTCAAAGCGCCAGTACCAGCAAAGCTCAACGTAAGGACAGGACCATTTGACACTGAAAGCCATCAATTTCATTTCAAATCTACGTTTTTTCTAGCTAATTTACATAAAATAGTGCGTAACTGCAAAGGAATGTCACTATATCAATTCTATGGGGTTGAATCTCAAAGTAAGGATGATAGAAATATGGACAATAAAAAAATACAATTTGCTTCGCTGCGCAACACACTTTCACGAAACGCTCATGCCTAAATGGTGTTTTATTACAAGAGTATAGCGTGTCTATAAAATTTATTATTAACAGGGCTCTATTTTACGATGCCGCTTGTTCAAAAGCGGCAAATTACTAATTTCTTTACAACAAAAAGTAATTTGTGTTTCAAACTAAGTCTATTTTACAGAAAATCTACGTTAGAATGGAGGAAAGTCTGTTATTTATGCATTAATTCATATTTAGACAAACTGGGGTATAAAATCTATAAAAATGTATTCTTGGTTGGCTATTTGCTATAGAGCCCTCATAAAGAAAAAGATTGAAATAAAGAAGTAGTTAGTCTAATATTAATAACTTATGAAAGGCAAAAAAACAAAAGCAGCACCTAGATTCAGAGGGAGAGGAGAGGATCCTACAGAGTGAAAAAAATATTTGGGGTTGGTCACAATGAAGAGCGACACACTCTTTTCGCGTTTATATACTTTTTGTCTTTTTAAGCAGTGAAAGGGTTAATGTCTACGATCTGAGACAAAAATATCAAAGATTTATGGAAAATAGAACTACTTATGCTACGAGTGTCCCATGGTCCGTACCTCCGACGAATAAAATCTGATTAGCAGAAACGTAACATAAAAGACTATCGCATAAACTTTACGACTAGCTCAAACGCTATAAAACTCGGAACCCAGTTAAATTGCTCTTTAAAAATCTAGAAATACTGAGGTGCGATTTTAACAAGTATAGAATATTCGATAATATATATTTTATAAAGTGAAACAAATAGAAAATTCATCATGGTAACAAGATTTTAGTACTTCTACATGATACAGAGCGCCCAACTGGCCGACTCGCCGTTTCTCAATTGTTAAACCGAAGCGATCGTCAATACGACGTTATAAAAAAGACACTTTCGGTCAGGCACTCCGTAAATCTAAAGAGGAGAGTTCTAGAAAATAATCAGTCATATTAGTATATATGCAAGTATTAAAATATATCTTACTTATCTATACATCATTACATCTGAACTTTGGTACATGCAAATGTAAGCATCGCAAAGAAGCCTACGGGCGTGCTCGGGTAGGTGTCGGTCTAGGGGGAATTCCTCGTGGAGTTGCCGGCAGATCCTGTCGTCCGACAGCCAGCGTGATATATCCGGGCAGGCGACCATCTCTGGTATGTTGTAGCCGTTTTTCTCACCTTCAATCACAGAAACAGCTCAATATTAAAACGACAGGAGATTCATAGGCCTGTTAATTTAAAAGGGGCATGTCTCGATGTTTCTTATAAATCGAGTTACTGCTACCAAGCAGCCAAACAGAGGTCCAATCGCGCCAACAACAAGTCTTAAAATGATGATAACTTTGAGTCAGTCAAACCACCAGACATATACTAGTCTCAAATTTGCTATTTTTCATCAATACACTGTAGATGCATAACCAACAGCTATTTTCATCGTCTTAACTGACATACTAATGAGAACCAATAAGTTCAAAACCAGTACGTGTCTGGTGGTTTGGTTGATGAACAATCCTGTCTATTCACTAGATATTGAGGGTATAGCTCAATGCTACTCAGGACAACAGTCTGCAGAGTAGTTGTGTCCTGCAATTGAAATTTTTTTAGAAATTGTTTTTGATAAAATACCTTTTCTGTCTGCCATGGAATCGAAGAAGCACCAGGGGGCCTCATGCCCGACTCCGCACTTCACAAAGGCAACATAGTGCGACGTCTCTATACAAATCACAGCGAATAACTCCATGAAGAGCCTTGGGGGCCTGTAAGCGTCCTGCATCAAGGAGAAGTCTTGAGCCACTTCCAATTTCGTGGGCCTGTGGTGCTTCCGCCTCTCGTGCCGGTGTGCCGTCTTCAAACATTCCAAACAGAAAGCAGTGCTCTCCAGTCCCGCATTGCTGCAGTCATCGAAACATTCTCTGCATTCGCATTTTGCCAGTTTACCACACACTATGCACTGCCGTGGAGCTGGAACAAAGAGAGATATACACGACGTCCCAAACCAAGTGTTTATTAAGTACTTGTACAAACTTTAAAGGGTCAACCTTTGACAAATTTTAAGACAAAAAGTTCACATGAACATGGATCCGCAACAGCTTAGTTTTTGAGATACAGAGCGTCAAAAGAATATACAGGGTGTCACGCTTAAATGTGATACATGTAATTAAAAAAATTTTTTTTAGAATGTAGGATAAAAAAACTATCTAAATGTAATGCTGCTGTTTTTATTAATGCCATTCACGGTCAACTAGGACGCGTTTTTTTGACATCAAAACAGCTAATTGGTATTAGCGATTTTTTTTCCAAAAAACAGATTACGTATTCTCATTCAGGATCCCTTAAAATGTCTTATCATCAAGTTTCATCAAATTCGATACATCTTCAGACGAGCACTAGTTGGCCGTTAATTGCATTAATAGAAAACAGCAATGTCACAGTTAAATGGTTTTTTACTCTACATTCCATAAAAAAATTTTTTGAAATCAGCCAAAAAATAAAGAAGTTACAGGCTTGTATTACTTTTGCGACAGCATGGAGTGCTCGCCTGAAGATGTATCGAATTTGATGAAATTTGGTGGTAAGACATTGTAAGGGATGCTGAATGAGAATACGTAATGTTTTTTGGAAAAAAAATCGCTAATACCAATCAACTGTTTTGTCAAGAAAACACGTCCTAGTTGGCCGTGCATTGCATTAATAAAAACAGCAATATCGCAGTTAAATAGTTTTTTTAGCCCACATTCCAAAAATAAAAACGTTACATATAAAAATCGATTATGCCATTCTATAGTGGGCAAAAAGTTGCCAAGAGGAAGTGTTTTTCTTTTTTCAATATCACCACAAACACGGTTGAAAATGAAAAATTTCGTTTTTTTTCAAATATTCGAAAACTAATCATGTTAGCCTTGATCTTTTAGAGGCATAATGTTGGTCCCTTGATTACGCATTTAAGCTACTTCGTGTCTTTTACCATTTTCGAGCGAATTTGTAACAGCCTGTATATAGTGTGTCCTCAGATCGGGTTAAATACCCGCAAGAATTTTTATTTTAAATTTTTCTAGTCACTCATAAAAATTTTTGCTTCTTTGGAAAATACACTTATAATTCTAAAAATTTGTACAGGGTGTTCATTTTTCTCCTATTATGAAACAAAACTTAAATAATGAGCAGAATTTCCCATTCCAGCTTATGTAAAGAGGGCTTTTTAAGTAATTTAAAACTTTTCAAGTGGGAAATGTCGTTCATCGATTAGAGTTTTGTTTCATAATGGGATAAAAATTTTATTAAGTTTAACCGAATACATTTTATTAATAACATTTTTTGTATGTCTTAAAATACCCATGACTATTTTATTCAAAATCTTTAAATTTGTAGAACTATTTTCAAAATTTCAAGACAACCAAAGATTTTAAAGAGTGACTTTTGGAAATTTGGACAGTGTGAGTCAAAACAACAAACAATAAACAAATTTTCGACTGTTTTAAAAAATATATTTTTTGCATGATTTATTAAATATTAACCAAAATTGGTAAGTAGATAGGCATATTATTAATTGTTAAGACAAACTAATTTATTTTAAATTAGTTAATTTTGCCGTTTTATAAAATCTATACAATAAAAAGTAAATAAAATTACTTACTAATTTCAGATTCGCAATATTTTTTAAAACCATTTCAAACTTAAAAAAAGTATTTATTACTATTTTTAAAGCACTGTGTTTAGTTTGTAAACGTGTGTCAATGTATAGCTTTATAGTTATTTAATTCAGTATTTAGTGACGGTAGGGTGTGTTTGTGCGTCTTTATCGTATGACATGTATTGTATTTTGTATGATATGAAAAAACATGTATAAGAACATTACGAATTACCCAAAATTTTTTCAAACACTCAATTTTCGAGGCAGAATTTGAGAAAAGAAATTCATATACTTACAGCCTTCTATAATATCCGTAACGTCCAACAACTGAGACGGTAATATTCTGGGATACATTTTGTAATTCTTCCCGAACCTGGGCATCTGAATAATAAGACAAGACGGGACCTCCTTCAACTTAATATTGCTCGTTAGAAAACTCTGTTCGAATAACTGCTGCACAGTCGGCAACGTCAAATCGGCGTCCTTCTCAACGAACAACTGATAGTGAAAGGCTTCCTGTCCCGAGTTGAGTTTCAAAAATGGCTCGGCTTTAAGAATTTGAGCAAGGAGCGAGTTCAAAAATTCTTCCGGGTCCTTCTCCTCGCTTGTTAAACCCGACACGGAACTTAGCCTGTCTAACAGTCGTCGCAACTTCATCACATGGTCGGCACTGACAAACAAATTTTTTCTAAGAGGGTTCACGATTTCTTCTCGAAGAACTCGCTGCACCTAAAATAATTTCATGGATGAATTCGAGGAACAGTAAAAATGTGAATGGAAAATATACCTCTTCGTAGTCGTCGATATCATTCGAATTCTTTGGCCGGAATAACAAACTGTCGAATACTGCTGTGTAGGTAAACATGGAGAATAATGTAACGTCGAGGTAACAAGAATTGTGATGGCCCTGTATACCTCTATATTTTCCGCAGACGGCTTCGACGTCCTCCTCTGTGGGCATGCAAAGGGGGGCCACGGCTCCGGGAATAACTGGACATTCCTAAAATATAATAATAATCTATTACTGCTATTGTACACAGCCTTCAAAAATGATTACAAGCCACAATCCCTAAATCTTAATATTAATGACTCGTTTACAATGAACAATGACAAACTGTTACATCTATAATTGAGATAATGCGCTTGCTTGAATCTTGTGAAAAATTACACCAATCATGGGGGTGAAACAGAATGTTGAGTTTTAATTTAATCGTGTTTTAATAATTTTACCAAAATTTAATTGTCAACGTAAAGGATCTTATTGTATGCGGGAGCACAAATGGCTCCATCTGTCGTGCTGACTCCCAACTGTGCCATTCAAATGGCTACAGTAGGAAGCGACCTGCCATATTGCAGGTACTTGTCGCACGACTGCCACCCACAGAGGGCGAAGACAATGTTTTAATTGTCAGTGTTGCGAGAAACAATTAATGAATGGCACAGTTGGGAGTCAGCACAACAGATGGAGCCATTTGCGCTCCCGCGTACAATGTATTTCCTAGTCGTGACGATACGACGCAAAACAGCTGGTTCGTACGTCAGTTGTCTCACCTATGACACACTGATGAGGACTAATAAGTCCGAAACTGGTCTGTGACTGGTGGGTTAAATTGACGAACGACCCTAGCTGTTGCACTAAGTGTTGCGAGTATAATTCAATGCCGGTAGGGGCATATAGTCCTCGGAGTAGTTGTTTCTCGCAACACTGACAATTAAAACAGTGAAGGATCTTATTTTGACCATCTAGTTTTATATTTTGTTTAATCTGAAATCCTGAAACAACCTATATATTTTTTTTATTTGATATCAAATCCCAAAATAGTGTTTGTAATTCTGAACACAAACATGTCATTACAAAGAAATAAAAGTGGTATGCATTAAATGCAATTGCTGTAGATAATTACCTATTTTCTATGACAATAAACATTTAATTGACTAATTACAGATTAGAGAAATCAATTACTCACCATTAAAATATGTTACAGAAAACGCGATCTGAATGATTTATCAGTTTTAATACACTACTTATAAACATTATCGTTATATAAATAGATACCTGTAAATACTATGCCACGAGTTACACCCACTTTTCATCCTACATAATAAAAATAACAACTTATAAAGCAAAATAATGTATTCCGAACAGATGTTTAGTTTGAGGTGTAAGATTCCAAATTGGAAATATAAACAATTTTATTTTGAATTGATCAATGTTCTTTTCAATTAAAAATAGAGGAGATTTCAACCGAGATGTTTCTATAACGGACAATAACGTTAAAAAATACAATATCAACTCACAATTTGCTCGGCTGCTGCGGCTTGATGCACGGGAGTGGGCGTACCATCTACAAACCGCGAATCCTTATGGCACTGTTCTATCGGCACAAATAGTGCTCTGCTGGTGGCACAGTTAAAGAACCTTTCGCCATTGTGTGTACCATCTGTCAAAGTTAAAGGCAAATGAGATTGTTCTTCCTCCAATTCCACCCCAACTAATATGAAGTTGGTCTCATTGTCAACTCCCATCCATCTTACCACCCCGTAAAGAGGGTCTGTGCTAACGTCATTCAGAACTTCTACCAGACTTCCGACCACCAGATCGTGGGTAGTACCCGGCTGCGGGTCATGGTATTTTGGTTTATCGTTAACGTAGAATGTGGAGGACCTTGCCAACTGTTCACTTTTTTCGTTTATTTCTAAGACAGATAGTGGAATATTAAAATCATCCTCGTAAGTAGTGTTAGCATAAATAACATCACAATTGTTATTAGACGTTACATTCTTCGTTTTCATTGCTTTGAGATTTTTCTTTTTAATGTTAAGCGACAAGTTACAATTTTTTCTTTGACTTAAAGACATGTCTCTATGGCTAAAAACTTAAAATTACAAGTGGGTACGAACTTTTTAACAACTTAATGGTACAGCACATTTTTTTTGTTCGGAACTAAAGAAAAAAAGTGCTTAACTTCCACACCGCCATGTATCTGAACTAAATGAATAAAAATAGGAATCTAAAAAAAGTTTGCGAGTCTAGTTTGGCCAACATACGCAATAACGTCTATTTTTAGACCTCACTGGTAAAAGTTGCAGTATTTCCTAAATCATGACAAGCAGAAAGCTAAAATATATTCAGTACGTAACACCAATAAAATTCCCTAATTTAACAATTATTTTATAATTCTGCTTTCACTTTAAAAATCAAATTTTATAATAAACATAACCTTAAATTTTACCAGTATAAAATTAAATATGAAATACTAAAGCTGGACTGAAATAACTGAAATTATTAATTAATTTTAAATACATAAAGTTTAAAGCAACCTTTTTAATTTCCTTGAAAGTGAGGTCAGATTTGAAATTAGAAAGCAGCACATCAGTTAAGCAGCTATCACTACTTTATTACGAAACTTGAAAGATTTAAAAACATAATTACCATTTAAATAGGATATTGCACTTTAAAAAAAATACCTGGAGCTCAATGTAACCCGTGTGTATAACAACAAAATACAATGGAATAAAGATCGTAATATTTACTTACTTCTGCCATTTTCTTGCTTTTTAGGTAATGTTTTAAGGTGCTCTTTATAGTTTTCAGTCAGGTCATTGGTGTAAAATTTTGACTTCCTCAGGCTATTGTTGCCTTCGAGCAAATGTGAAAGTGGATTAATGCTTTTATTCCGTCTGTTAAGTGTATTATTTTCCCCATGCACATATTTCTCCTTAATATTATCATTCTTGTCCAATCCTTTTTTTAAATTTGAATACTGTTGCAACTGCGCACTATCAGTGGTCCCTGACCAAGTCCCAATGACATCGATAAGATCAACTTCTGACTTATTCTTGCTTTTCCTTTCCATATCTGGCATCAAATAAATCCCGTCAGGTTGAATAACAGTATTTTGATCAAAATCGTTATTAGTGTTAACAGTCATACTCTCAACGTCCAAAATGTTCTGCAATGACTGAAAATTTCTTGAATTTTTGACGGGCATGCTTGGTTTTCTCGTATACTCCCCATATTTCGTAACTATTTCCTCGTGATGAGGTTTCGTATCGATGGAGTTGTTCATTATACTGTTGATATTCCTTTCTAAATAAATGTCGAGTTCTGAAGGTTTTGGGGGCACAGGATCGTTGCTGGTGCTAGGATAGTTAATGGGTCTAACCCTTTCAATACTGGTAAAAACACCATGTCCTGGTGTGCATGAAAAATACTGGATATTAGCACAAGATCCACTGCAAATATTATTATTCTTTTTGTCCTAAAAAATAATATGTATAATCAAACATCATGAATTTAAAAAATAATGAATTAAACTGAAACTTTCGATGCGCAGTTGACTAGCATTTTTTAAAACAATGCCATAGTAACAATTCTTATGCAAAGTTTAATCAATAGGGAAAATACCTCTATTGAGGTGCATTCATTATTATCATAAAATATGTGTTCGATAACAAAAATTATTAAAAAAGCCTATAATTAATTATTTTTAACAGGCGAGTTTTTTAATTCATTACTCAGAGATTACCTATATGCCTAAATTTTAAAAACACGTACTTCAATAAAATAAGAGTAAATATTGTTAAATTAAATATAATTTTGTTAATTAATAAATAAATATCAAATTCTATATTTGCTAGAATGACTAATACCACTACATTTGGACAGTATTACACCATATTGTAAGTTCCTCAATACAATAAATCGTGAATTTCACCACATATAAATTTATTTGATAAGCAAAGGAAACAACTTTTTGTAGCATTAAGTTGAAAAATTAAAAGTAATTGTTATACACAAATATCTGGGACTCACCAGAACGCATCAAAGTTGCTATAAAAAGGATTGTTTATAAAATATATTTTAAATGTTTATGTAACATTGTAATTACTAATTAGGTACATTAAACCGTGCAATCAAAACAATGCAGTGTTCTTTGAAGCATAAAAATAAAACTGACATGGACCGTGTTAAATTGATACCAAGCCATTAAAACACTAAAACTACCTCGCATGAATACAAATTAGTATTTAATTAAACTTACATGTAGCTCAATGCCAAAACAGTAGCCCATACCCTTGACTGATCCCATATATCTAACCGTTCCTAGGTACACATCATTTGTATCCATAAAACCTACTACCATGTCTTTAGATATATTTTTTAAAATGTCACATAAAGATTTATTTTTTGCCAACTTAACTCTTTCCTGTGGTGACGTAATAGAAGCAATATAGGGCCATAATTTTTCAGAAATTGGTACCACATTTTCTTGAGGACAACTAAAACGACTTGGCTCCCATGTATTACCCTCTGTTAAGAATCTCACTCCAATATTTCCTTTTCCTAATTCACCATCGATAAGAACGACTTGCCCAAGAAGTACTGTTCGTTGGTCACCTTTGTATGTTTCTTTAAGTAACGCATTTTGCACCAAAATCCCGTATTTTATATCTTTAGAATTCATTTTACACTCTTAGTAAGTTCATGAACATATTTTTGTAAACATTATTAAAATTTTGTAAATTTGACTCATTGAATAGCGGTAGTCTACATAAACCTTATCTTATCTGTAAGATAGAATATAAATCAATCGTTTGAAATGAACTGTAAATAAATAATTATATGTAAATATTGTACATTACATGACACATAAACATGAGACATGACACACACCTGCGATTTTTTCTGAATGTTAAATTATAGAATATAATTTTTATTAGATAAATTCTCCCTAGATGCAATTTTGCTTAGTCAAAGTCAAATTAATGAAGAAGAAGAATAATACAGACATGGCACAAGGAACAAAATAACGCAGATAACAAAACAAGTAACAACAGAACTGTAATCTATGAAATGAACGGAACAATAAATAAAAATAAGTGAGGTTGTGTAATTGAATTCTTACAAAATATGAAATTAACAAATTTTGAGTATAAAGTATGCCAGAGTACTTGTAAATTGTAATAAGGCAAAAAAAACATGTTAATTAAAGTTTATTAAGCAATTCTTATATTTATTGTTTAAAAAAATATAAAAAGCTTTGAAGAAAATGGGTGATGCTCACCAACTAAAAATGTATCCTTTTTGAATTTTTGATCCATAAAATTTCACGATTTAAAGGTGTACGTAGACCTTAACTGGAACTCAGAAACATAGAAATTCCTTTCCAAAGCAACAGAATTGCTGAGATAGCGTATGATGTATTGAGAGTAGATAAAGAACCAAAACGCAGTGGTGTAACAAAGAATTTAAGTGTTAAAGAAAATATTTTAGCAGTGTAAATAGTTTTATAACTTAATTGTGCTTTATCTAGCTTAATATTATTTTCAGGAAATTCTCGACTTCGCTTGCAAGGCAACTTCGAGTAGCCGTTAATGGATTTTTTGAGAAGTTAGACCTGATATCCGAGACCATAGAAGCTTTTGGACCTCCAGTTAGTAACAGTTACAGTCATTACTAAAAATGCCGCAACATACACCAGCACCCACACCTACCAGAGCCGTTTACGGTTTTGTAATGTATTTAAGCTTCGAAATATTTTTTATAATCTACGTAATATGGGCGATAGTACCAGAAGAATATTTAGAATTGATAGGTATAACTTTTCTACCTCAAAGGTACTGGGCTGTAGCCGTACCTATATATTTTCTTATAGTTCTGACTATTTTTGCATTCGTTATTTATCCGGCTTTGGGTTGGTCCATGACACCGGATGTGGACGATTTAAGGACAATTAAAGACGATATTGGGGGCAAGAGAAAGTGTAATAATGTACATGAAGTGGTGAATCATACAAAAGAAGAAGGTTGTATTTGTAAAGACAAAGAAAAATGTTACAAAGAATATTATAATACTGTTCAATCGGCAGTTGTTAATAAATCTATTCCTAGGTTAAAGGACATAGATATGTGGGAGGTATCGGAAAATCTATTTTTGAAATAAATTTGTAACTTTTGTATAGAAATACAAATCTTTGCATGTAAAGAGCAGAAATAAACTACTTAACGCAAAAGTGTCTTGTCTATAACAAAATTATTTGTCATGGTGAAAACTGAATTTCTTTTTTAATCTCTTTTTTTTGTAATTTTCACACCCCAAAACTAAGTAAGGTAGTGTAAAAACTAATATTTTACACAGAAACTTGAAAAATTAGCATATTACAAATACTTTCTCGTAAACCGATAAACTAAAAGCTAAAATAAACATAATAAATGAAGCGGTTACATATTAGACAATTTGTTTTCTGTTTGCATAGTGCTCTGCTGTCATATCACATCAGGTAGATTGGTATTCATTTAAACTAGGTCAATGTTAAGATTCATGAACTAAACATAGTGCTTTAAAAAAGAAATAGTAACAAATACTTTTTTATTAAAAATTATTTTAAATAATCTAAATTTTATTTACAATTAGTATGCTTATACAGGGTGTCTCTGAAAAGGATGGACAACGCTTGACCACAGGTTCCTTGGATGAAAATAAGACTATTTAGCCTAACTTACCTATATACAAAAGTGCACGCCTACTGTGAGATATAGCCTTCTAAATATAGAATATAAAACTTATTTTTTCCACGGTCGGGAGTAGAAATCAGTTTCTATGACATCAAAATTAAAACAGAAGTAGTCGATTATTCCCAAGGGAGTATAATGCTCCCAAGGGAGTTTACATTATGGAGAACGTTTTTCATGCAAAAAAAAGATAACATTGAAATTATTTATTGACATTTAAATTAAATGTTACATTTGTACAATTTTCAAAATTAATATTAGAAGGAATATTACTTTCGCTTACATTTACAGTTTTTGTGATTGCGCTAGTAGTGGTACCTACTAAAACCTGATTAGCAATTTTGGTCTTATTTTCAATGGAGTTCTCGACATAACCCTCAGCGACTGTCGTTGATTTCC